TGGGTGGAGGTGTGCCATGGCCACCTTGGAGAAATAGGGATTTACATCGACCAGAGAGCACAGCTGGGGCAGAGAACCTAAGCGAAGAAACACTGTCCATGCAACCCAGTGAGTCCCCAGCTTCTCTGTTCACAGGTGAGCTGCAGGAAATTGACGATCGTCACACACATGTGCTGACTGCGTCCCTGGCATTGTGTGTAGGTAGAGAGTAATTAGTAAATGTTTCGTTTTATCTGCAGTTCATACAGAGCAAATTGAAGCCCAGCCTAAGACATTCTAAACAAGCGGGGCTCTAAAGATAATAATACAGGCAGCAAAAACTGCCAGTGGCATTCCATCAGACAAACGTATTCCAGGCTGTCTGAAGGTGCCGAATAGAAGGTTCCAGCGTGAATAGAAGGTTCTGGAATGGCATTCCACGTGTAGCCTCTTGTTGTACACACATAGCAGGCCTGTTAGAACGAGAGTTTTGATGATTTTGCCTGATTTGGGGGTGTCCTGGCCAGACATCTGAAGAAGGGCAGGCTTCTAAGTTGGGGTTTTCTGCAGGATGCCCCCTGCATCGAGAATGGTTGTTAGGACTATGACATGCAGCTAGCCCACGTAGGTTGGAGTGAGAACTGACTTTCCTTTCAGTCTTCTGGAAGGAAATGAGGGGCCATGGACGGATGAAAGCAACCACATAAACCAGGGACAGTCGTTAAAAGTGAGGCTCCATGATAGGCAGATGGAGGCCTTCCAAGGTAGATCCTTCCAGATGCCCAGAACTGCTGGTCATGTGACTAAATGTGGCCAAAGGGACGTGGCAGATGTAACTAGGGTAAAAGAGACCTTGAGGGTGATTCCAGAGAGCTGGAAAGTGACAAGGAGTTAGGGGACCCCTGTGGTCCCTCTGGACGCTGCTAGCCTGTGAGGATATGAACAAAGCTGAGATGCCTCCAGTGGTTAGAGAGAGCATGACCACAGAGGAAGAACTGCAGGCCCTTCCTGCCTTTGAAGGGACAGCGGCCATGTTGTGAGCCAGAGAGGAGGCAGAGAAGCAGAAACCTTTGTTTCCCCCGGGCTTTCCAGCAAGGATCACAGACCTACCTAGACCCCAATTCTGTAACGTCCGCGGTGGACCTCTGTCTTACAGAGCACAGGATGCACAGAAAATGTTAAGAATGGGCAGAGAGGCTGCAGGGTACAGAAAGGATGTATTATCTTTGCATTTTTTCCTGTAAATCTGAAGCTATTCTGAAAAGGTTATTTTTTAAAAATTAGTTATGTGTATTTGCATGTGTCTCTCTGTGTGTGTACATGCATGCAGTGACTTTGGAAGCCAGAAGAGGGCGCTGGATCCCCTGGACCTGGAGTTACAGGCCATTGTCAGTCACTTGATGGGATTAGGAACCAAACTCTGGTCGTCTACGAGAGTAAGATGCTCTTAACTGCTGAGCCATCTCTCTAGCCCTTAAACATTATTTAAAATAAAACCCAAGCCAGGCACACCTTTAATGGTATATGCCTTTAATCCCAATGGTCAGGAGACAGAAGCAAAGGAAGAGACAGAAAGGCAGGCAGATCTCTGTGAGTTCGAGGCCAGTGTGGTTTACATAGTGAGTTCTAGGACAGCCAGAGCTACATAGTGAGACGCTGTCTCCCATCCAGCCCCAATACAAATGAATGAATGAACGTAAGCAAGCTGGCGTGGTGGCACCTGGGTCTCAGGTACTTGTGGGGCTGGGGTAGGAAGGAGAATTGCTTGAAAGCAGAGTAGATACCAAGACCTCAGACCTGAGAACAAACCCATCGGCCTGGGAAGGAAGTTAGCTTCAAGACCCTCAGTTCAATTCCCAGGACCATAAGAAAAACGAATCAGAAAGCAGATACACAGGCCCAGTCTATATCAGTAAAATAAATAAATCAGCACTTCTTTGGAGGGTGGAGGAAACTGGGTCTCTCTCTGTCTCTGTCTCTCTTTCTCTCTGACAGGATTTTAGTGTACAACTCAGGCTGGCCTACAAATCATGATCCTCCTGCCTCAGCCTCCTGGGTGCCAGTTATAGGCATGTGCTGCTGCTGCTCCTGGCTCAGCATCAGATATTTTATTTTATTTTATTTTATTTTATTTTATTTTATTTTATTTTATTTTATTTTTTGTTTTTTTCGAGACAGGGTTTCTCTGTGTAGCCCTGGCTGTCCTGGAACTCACTCGGTAGACCAGGCTGGCCCCGAACTCAGAAATCTGCCTGCCTCTGCCTCCCAAGTGCTGGGATTAAAGGCGTGTGCCACCACCGCCCGGCGCATCAGATATTTTAAAATCTCCCCAAGTGCGTCTGTGCGCTTTCATGTTGCTGGACCTCCTTATAAAGTCAATCTGCTTGGTAATTTTGCAGACGTGTGTGCATCGCATGTGTGAGTGCATGTATGTGTGTGTATGTATGCATTGTGTGTGTGTGTGTACACCACAGCATGTGTGGGAAAGCAGAGGAGACCTCTCAGGGGTTGTCAGGAGTTGGTTCTGACGTTTCCCTCTTGTTTGAGGCTGGGTCTCTCTGGCTTCACTTGCTAAAGTATAGACTTAGTCTTATCTGGTCTACGAGCTATCTCTGCGTTCAATCTTGCTACAGAAGAGTTGGGATTACAGATGTGTGATACCACAATCTGGCTTCCTTCCTTCCTGTTCCAGGGGTCTGGAGGACACAAGTTATTAGATATCTTCCAGCCCCTGTTTTGTTTTGTTTCGTTTTTTAAGACTTACTCTATAGCCCAGGCTAGACTGAAACCCATAAGCCAGCCATATCCAGCTTTGGCACCGTGCTATAGCAGGGAAGGGGGCATCAGGATAGGGAGGACTTGGGCTCTGGCCCCAGGTCCACAGAACTTGGTTCAAATTCCAGCTTCACACTCCTCCAATGTGGTTCCTGGGACAAATAAGAATGCTTGTCTGAGGCTCAGTTGAGTCTAAAATGGGGAAAATCAAATATCTCTCCCAATTTCTGGATGGAACAGATACTTTACAAATACGCTAACAAGCTACAGGTGGCAGCTTGTTAGCCACAGTTAAAACGGGAGCTGCGGTGGCCAGTGGGACTGTGTTAGCCTGTGGGACTGTGTTAGCCAGTGGGACTGTGTTAGCCAATGGGACTGTGTTATCCTGTGGGACTGTGTTAGCCTGTGGGACTGTGTTAGCCTGTGGGACTGTGTTAGCCAGTGGGACTGTGTTAGCCTGTGGGACTGTGTTAGCCAGTGGGACTGTGTTAACCAGTGTGAGGCCCAGGGACAAGCTGTGTCTGAGGCATATGCCTGTAGACCAAGAACTTGGGAGGCAGAGGCAGGAGGAGCCGCAGTGTGAGGCCAGTATGAACTTCACACTGACTTCTGGCTTGGGTTGCACAGCAAGACCCTCTTTCAGAAGAGGAGGAGGAGGAAATGCAGGAGGAGGTCCCGAAGTCATACCACCCTCAGGAGCAGGGTAAGTAGGTCACTCAAAGCTTAAAGTCCCTCTCGTTGTGTTTCTATGGCAATTCTACTGTAGAAGAAACTGAGGCCCAGAGGGAAGCAGGCTTGCCCCCAAACGAATCAGGAGGGAACCCCAGATGTCTCTGGATCTAACTCACTATGCCTGGGGTTCTCAGCAGGTGTTCTGTCAATAGCTGTGACTGGGCTCCTTCAAAGGCCTGATGGCCCTTGCTGGCTTAATCAGGGCAGATGGGGGCGCCATCTCTGCCCCACGGCAGCATGGGAGAGGGCAGCCCTTGGGTCAGAGGGTGACCAGGACAGCCACACCTGGCATGCTGCAGGTTTGAACCTAGTTGCTGGCTGTGGAGGGCCAACAAGACTATACGGCCGGCTCCATGAGAAACATCAGAATGGAGAAATGAGAGAGCAGAAGAAACAAAGTGGCAGGAAAATGGAAGAAAAAGAACAATCGACTATTTATATTTTTACATTATTTTGGGGGGCAGTATTTTAGTATTTTTTTTAGTAAAATAAATTATTATTTTAATATTTTTCATTATTTTAGGGATTGATCTGAGAGCTCTGAGGTCCTCGTCTCTGCTTGTCTTGTTACTGGTCTAGTTAATGCACGAACCTGTGCAACCGTGTGAGTTACACTTATTAAAACCTTTGTACCCACCACCAACTTTAAGATTACGGTAGTTTACCAATGACTTGCTATTCTGGAGGCCAGCGGTTCTCGGCCTCCATTGCCTATGAGACACACCATGGCTCTTTGTTTTGTTTTGTTTTGTTTTGTTTTGTTTTTGAGACAGGGTTTCTCTGTGTAGCCCTGGCTGTCCTGGAACTCACTCTGTAGACCAGGCTGGCCTCGAACTCAGAAATCTGCCTGCCTCTGCCTCTCAAGTGCTGGGATTAAAGGCGTGCGCCACCACTGCCCAGCACCGTGGCTCTTTGGAAATCATTTATGTCTTCACTGTGGTCAGGGGATGATTCTCATGTGCCTTGCTTGAGAAACAGACATTTATTTCTTTTATTTATCTTCTATCCTATTCCCTTGGTTTCTATCGTCCCCCTGCTCTTCCCCTCCCTCCACTAATCCTCCCCTTCAGCTCCACTCCTCATCCCTCCACCCTATTCCCCCCACCCCCAGTAACTACCTCCCGACCCCATACCCAAACCCCCAGTCTCGCTAAACCCACCCCCACTCCTCCATCTACACACACACACACACACACACACACACACACACACACACGCCATCCTGATTGGAAAAGATTCTTTCCCTTCCTCCTCTACTTCAAGGACTAACAATTACTGTCGATTTACCTCCCACCACCAGGGCGCGCCAGAGGAAAAAAACAAAACAAAGCAAAACACTCCACCGTTCCTTTTTCTTGGAGAGCGGCGGGTGTCGCGCGGGAGGAAGTTTGGCCTTCGCGGTGCTCCGTCGTCCCGCGGGGCTGCCCGGCAACCGGCGAGGAAACGGCTGGCGGCGTCTGTGCAGCGGGCGCCGCGAGACCCTCGGAGCCTGCGAGCGCGCGATCGAGCTGAGGCCGGCGACCCTTCTCCGCGAACTTCAGGCGCCGAGCGCAGGAGTCAGAGGTTAGGCTGGGCCGAGGGGCGGGCCGAGGCATCCTTGTCGCCGCGGGACCTGTAAAAAGTTGTGTGCCGAGCGCTCGGCACGCCCTAGTAATCTTTACGTCCTCGTCTCGGCTTGTTTTTGTTTGTTTTTGAGACAGGGGCTTCCTGTTTTGTCCGGGATGGTTTTGAACTCCTAGATTCAAGGGATCTTCCTGCCTCGGCTCCTAAAGTTCCTGGGACCGCTGGGGCGTGCCCCTGGGACCTGCTTGCCCCTGTAGTTTTATGCAGAATGTAAAAATTCTCGATTTCTTATCCCAGCCTTGTCAGGACAGTTTCTGTGTCTGCAATCTCCAGGATAGTGGCTGGCCACTGCAGGGCACAGGGCAGGTTTATTTCAATTGATTATCTGCATCCTTGGTGGCGAATCATTTAAAACATCATTCTGGCGTGGGCCCCATTCTTAAGATTTGATCATTCGGTTGTTCTGGGGTGGGAATGTGGGTCTTAGAGTTGTGATAAAGGTGCAGCCAGGGAGCGATTGCCATCAATAGAGAGAGGAGGCATTCGAGTGGGGGTCCCTGGCTTAACAACTGGCTCTGTGTTTGCCCACTGCTGTTGCCGTTCCCTTCAGATGGCGCTACCCACGTTGCCCTCTTATTGGTCCAGCCGGAGATCCATGGATCTTCGCCAGCGCCAGCATCAGCAGGAGGACCAGTTTCGCCAGCAGTGGGAACAGAACAGCCGCTATTTCAGGACCTGGGACATCCACAACTCCAAACAGACCGAATGGAGCTCCAAGACCTCCTACCAGCGGAGGCAAGTGTCTTGTGTGTCCCTCACCCACCGGTTCCTATCACCAGCTAGTCAGGAGGTGTAGCCTCGGGACTTAGGGACTGTGGCTTGTGACAGCTTGAGTTACCTCCTGGTGATGCTGGAAACTGGGGATGTGCTGGGGAGAAGTAATGTGGATTTTATAAGATAAAACGAATGCAGAGCGATTGTCTTCTCTGTAGGTGTTTAACCCCCCCAACTTTGTATAGAAATGTCTATCAAACCCTGACCTGGTGTGACTGATGTGCAGTGGGCTCCTTACCTAGCATGCACGCCTACAACTGCGAGAAGATGAAGGAGGAGAAGAGGAAGAATCTGGAGGTGCGGCGGGAGAGACTCAGGGAGCTTATGCTGGAGGAGCAGGACTTGCTGGCCGCCGAGCTGGAGGAGCTGCGGCTGAGCATGAGCCTGCGGGAACGAAGACTCCGGGAGCAGCACAGGGACCTGAAGTCGGCCCGAGAAGAACAAAGGAAACTGGTAACTACCCTAGACCGGAAGCCGGTTGCAGGGCGCGAGCCTCCCTGGCAGGAACTGAGGAATTGGTGTATGGGGTTGTTCTTGGGTGCCTGGTCAGAGGAGCTGGTCAGGTGACTAGGGCCCATGGGGAAGGCACTCCTCCCCCCAAGAGGGAAGGTTTATTTTAGCTCGTGGTTCCTGAGGGTCTCAAGCGATTATAATGAGGAAAGCATGGAGCAGAACTTCTGACTCTCGGTCTGTGTCAGAATCCTGGAGAAGTTGGAGGCCGTTGTAACCTCATGCATTTCCAACTGGCCTCTTGGTTCCCTGAAATAACAATTCTGAGACTTCTTATATATGAATAAATGCCTAGGCCAATAGCTTTGGCTTGTTTCCGCTAGCTCATAACTCAGTTACCCTGTTTAAACTAGTCTAAGCCATGCCATGTGGTTAGTCACCTCTCCTCATGTTGGTGTGTCTGTCTCCATCAGTGGTGAGGTGAATCTCCTGCACCTATTTCCCAGAATCCTCTCTCTGTCCCCTGCATGTCCCACCTTCTAATCCTGCCTCAGCTCGTTGGTCGGAGGTGTTTTATTGACAGCCGATGCCTCCACATAGTCCATTGCAGAAGAGAGTCTCTCTACGGTTAACGCTGGCCAGTCCCAGGGTAGATGAGCTTGCCAGCAAGAGTGAGGGCAAGCAGGCAGGAAGCCAGCGCCCGCTCTTACCGTACCTTTACAGGGGGTGTTTGGTACGTGGCTGATAAATCACTGCATGGGATTCTCCTTCATCTTTTCAGTTGTGTGGCCCCACAAAGACCTGGGAACACTGTATTTTATCTTTTGGGTGGCTACGGGAACTAGTCTCAGTCTGCGTGTTTTAGCCTAGTATGTGTTTGGAAACTTGTGCCCCTCGAAGGGACCCAGCCGTAGCATCAGATCTTAGTTCATTCCTTAGTCCCTCCTGGTCCACTGAGAGGGGCATTTGTCCACGCCTTCCATTCGGCTCAATGTCTTGTTCCCAGAGCTGGTGTGCAAAGGAAGCAGATTTGAATGGCAGACGGGGTGTCACCACTGGAGGGAGAGGCTCACGGCCTGAGCTGAGTTCTGTTGTGCCTCGTCTGAGTGTGAATGGGTGTGACCAGTGCGTCGCCTGTGTTTTCTTGACAGATTGCTGAACAGCTTCTGTATGAACACTGGAGGAAGAACAACCCCAAACTGCGAGAGGTGAGAACTAAGCGTCCCTTGCTTCGCCTGCGTAGGTGATGTCCGTCATGTTTTCAGGTTTTGTGCCTTTGTTTCTGAGTCTGGATGTGTGTTGTGCTGATACAGAGGGAAAAAGAGATCCAGGCAGAAGATCTGGCCAGACAGGGCTGAGCAGTGAACTCTGCCGCGCAGCCTGCCTTTGGGGGATATGGTCTTTGGCCCAGGAGCTCTCTGCCCATTGGGCTACAGAGACCTAGGCAGTGGCTTAGGATGTCTCTAAGGGATGTCCCTGGAGGGGGGAGCTTAGACGGACGATGGCTTCAGTGGGATGATATGGCGTGAGGAAGAGGCCTTCTGGATGGAGGCGACTGGAAGAGGTGCCCTGTGCCTCAACAACAGAGCCCAGGAAGCTGTAAAGGGCCAGGCGAGACCAAGATGCCCAGTGGTTAGGGAGTCCTGAAGAGAAGAAGCTGGTGAGGAGATGGGCAGACCTGGAGCAGCACTGCCTGGCCTTCCTCCAGAGGCTCTGGGCCACTTTAGCAATGTGCAAGATCACAGCTGCACGCTGGGGTGCTCCCTCAGCTTCACGCTGGAGTGCTTTTGTTGGCAGCCTGGTCAGAGTGAGCCAGGGAGGGTGGTGCTGCATGTTGGGCTCCTAAGGTGAAGCCTGGGCATGGGTGGAGGCAACAGGAGCCATGTCTGCATCCCGGGGCAGAGGGAGTCATGTCTGGGTTGGCATCTACCACTGCGCATAGGTTGGCTGGAGGGCATGAAGCCCGTTACTGGTACTGTCTCCTCACTTCAGCAATGTTTGGATAAGCTCGACACCGTCACTTTACGTAGCTTGTTGTGTCTAGAAGTTGCCAGTAGCAATTCCAGGTGAGATGACTCCGAAGGTCAAGGTGTTTGCTGCCAAGCCTGGTGACCTGAATTTCATCCCAGCACCAACATGGGCGAAGGGACCAACTCCCACAGGTTGTCCTCTGGCCTACACACACACACACCTACACACACACACACACACTCAGACACACACACACACCAGACACACAATATAAAAAATATTAAAAAAAAAAAAAACCTGGATGGAATAGTTCACTTTTTTCTCCTCTTGTTGTTTGTTTGTTTGTTTGTTTGTTTTTGAAACAGGGTCTCACTATGTGGCCCTGGCTGTCCTGGAACTCACTGTGTAGACTGGACTGGATTAGAACTCACAGAGATCCACCTGCCTCTGCCTCCTGAGTGCTGGCGTTCACTCCTTTACTCTCGGCACTGGAGGGCAGAGGCAGCCGGGTCTCTGAGTGCAGAGGGCTGGCTGTGCTCACCCAGCGTCTCCTGGGCTCGCTTTTCAGATTGCAGTTTTGTTTGAGGAATGCTCCCTGCTCTCCTCGGGCTCCCGGAGAGAGCTTTGGCTCTTTTGTTCCAGTGTAGACAGGCAAAGAAGCACATGAATCTTTGGTTTCCTACTTGCTGAACGTTCAGATTGGGTTTTGTTGTTGCTTTTATTGATGGTTGTGTGTGAGAGGGACACAGGTGTGTCGTGGCCCTTGCGTGGAGGTCAGAGGTCAACTGTTGGGTGTCACTTCTCCCCTCCTGCCTTACAGAGGCAGAGTTTGTCCTTTTCTGCTGCAAAGTTGAACTCTGGCTGGCTGACCCTTGAACTTCTGGGCTTGTAGAGCGTCCTCTTGTCTCTGCCTCCCACCTTACCACAGAGGTGCCAGGATCCACATGCATGCCACCACATCCTGCTTTGCACATGGGTAGTGCCAGGGATCGACCTCCAGTGTGCAGGCTGTGACTTTACACTTGAGCCCTCTCGCTGGCCCTCATCAGACAGTTGTTGTTGGGGTAGCGAGTCATGGTCAGGTTCCAACAGGTGGCACAGGCCACAGTCAGTCACCTCAGTCAGTCACACGCAAGCCCTCGGGGAAATTAATATTTTCTCTCTCATCCCAGCTTGAGTTGGACCTTCACAAGAAGCACGTGATAAACTCTTGGGCAACACAGAAAGAAGAAAAGAAACAGGTGTGTGATGTGTGACCCTCAACATTGTGTGGTTCCGTCCGCACTTGTGACCCTGTGGTGTGTGATGTGTGACCCTCACACGCTGTCTAGTTTTCATGCTCTTGGCGGGATGAGCTCAGGTGCCTGCCCAGCTGCTTGCTGCACGTGCAGGCTGATGTTTGCTTTGCGCATGCTCACATGCATGTGTGTGTGTGTGTGTGTGTGCGCATGTGTGTATTCACATGTGTAGGTGTGTGCACGTGTCTGTAGGTGATATTTCCTAGGAGCTAGCCGTCTTTTCTTGACAGATGGTCTTTCAGAAGTCTTTAACTTTCCCAAGTAGACTTCCGAGGACCTACAGGGACCCATCAGTTCCCATTTCCCTGAGACTAAGGCTACAAGCATAGAATCTTTTGCCAGCTTTTTTAAATTAAAAAGCAATTTAAAATTTATTTTCTGTGTATGAGTATATTCCCTGCCTGTATGTCTGTGTATTTCAAGCATGCCTGGTACCTTTGGAGAACAGAATAGGGTGTTGAATCCTCCGGAACTAGAGTTATGGACAGCTGTGAGCCGCCATGTAGGTGCTGGGAATTGAACCCGGGTCCTCTGGAAGGGCAGCCACAGTCAGTGCCTTAACCATGGAACCATCGCTCCAGCCTCAGGTTTTTATTTTTTTATTTTATTTATGTGTTTGAGTGTGTGTGTACCACGTGTGCTGGTAACTGAGAGGCAAGGTGAGGGCATCAGATCACTCGGAGGAGGATTTAGAATGTCTGTTAGCCGACTGATCTGGGTACCAGGAACGGAACTCGGCTCATGCTCGGAAGAGCAATGTGAGCCCTTAACTGCCAAGCCACCTCCCGCCCAGCATCATAAGCCTGCATCCCACACACTGGGCCCTGGCTTACTAAGTGCAGCACCTCTGGGGTTGAGTCCACAAGATGCATGCGACATTTCGTGTCTAGGTTCATCGAGTTATCTTGTGGCGGGAGGGAGAAACCTGGCGTGGCTGAGGCCTGGGGCTTCCAGGCCGAGCTTACCTGGGCTCTGCCGGCCAGCTGAATGGCCGCATGTTGACACACTGTTCCCTTATAGCAAGAAGCCACTGAGAAGCAGGAGAACAAGAGGGTTGAGAACGAGTATGCCGCAGCCCGCAGGGAAGCCGAGGCGAGGATGAAAGCCGAGGAGGAGAGGAGGCAGCTAGAGGGGCGCCTGCAGGCCGAGGCGCTGTGCCAGCAGATGGAGGAGCTGAAGCAGAAGGAGATGGAGGTGAGGGGGACCTTCCTAGCGCTGCCCAGCCACTCACCATGCTGATACCCGGGAATGGGGGCATTTAAAAGGCCATTCTGAACAGACCCCAGCAGGGATAAGGGTTCTGTGAACCAGATCCAGCCTGTGTGTGTTCTTCTCATGTGTGCACCTCACTCATGGTTCTGCTGAGACGCTTCACAGTGTGCCTCAGACTTTGGAACATTATGGTCTAAGACATACCTGTCCACTCGGGTGACACACCTCGTCAGGGCCTTTTCAGATCAGGGTTTTTCTAGTGGGACATGCTAGCATACAACATACAGCGTTCCACTAGTAACAGGTTTGGGTCTCAGTATGTAAGTCATGAGAGAGTTTGGTCCTGCCTTTGAGGACACTGTGGTCTCCTGAGAGAGCTGAGTCTTCTGTTCAGATGGAGGGAGGTCTCTCTTTGTTGGTCTTGCTGTTTCCCTTTCCCTGACCCCATTGTTTTAGTAACTAGAAATGTGGCGCCTCCTCATTCGAGATGTAGAGATAGCGCCCAAGCCAGGACTTGCTCCCCTCTGGCCTCACACGGCTGCTGTGCTGGCCAAGGAGACCGAAGCTAGGTTACTAAGTGTGGGCCAGCACAGGAAGTCTCTCCGGCTGGGCCAGCCTTGTAGGAATGGCTTAGTTGAGGAGGGACTCAAGAGTCACAGTGAGGGGGCCATGAGCATCAGGGTACCTGCCAGACCTGGAGCTGTGCGCCAGGACAGTCTGATTGCCCCCCACCCCCTTACTTGGGTTTACCGTTGTAACCATAGGCAACCAAACTGAAGAAGGAGCAGGAGAACCTGTTGAAGCAGCGCTGGGAGCTGGAAAGGCTGGAGGAAGAGAGGAGGCAGATGGCAGCCCTCCGGCGCAAGACCGAGCTAGGGTGTGTGCGGGAGCCGGGGCTCTTCCCAGCAGGGCGGGCCCCTTGCCTTCTCAGACTTCCCTGGGGTCCCCTGAGACCCAAAGGGGGTGTGGCCTGCGGGGAGGTGTGGCCTGCGGGGTGTGGCCTTAGGGAGTAGCTGTTAATTGGGACTGAAGCTGCTCGACTCCCATCTTTAGGAGCTTCTTGAGACGGCAGTACAACGCGCAGCTCAACAGACGCACCCAGGAGATCCAGGAGGAGCTGGTGAGTGAGCCGCTGTGTGGAGTTGCCGCCGTGCCGGTAGGCTTTCTCCGTCCTCTGGGAACAGCACTGCCACTGTGTAGGCAGGGCCTGAGTGCACCCTCGCATTGCTTCCCAGATGGGCGCAGAGCAGTGCTGGTGGACGGTGCAGAGAGGAAGAGAGCTTGCAGCATGGGTCCCTCGACAACTCTACCAATGCCGTCTGTACCTGAGCGAGGCGGCTCCCTGCGGCCATGGTGGACCGCATTGTTTTGGGTTTTTGTTTGTTTGTTCTTGTTTTTTTTTTGTTTTGTTTTTAAATTTATATGAGTACACTGTAGCTATCTACAGACACACCAGGAGAGGGCATCAGATCCCATTACAGATGGTTGTGAACTCAGGACCTCTGGAAGAAGTCAGTGCTCTTAACCATTGAGTCATCTCTCCAGCCCTGTTTATGTGTGTTTTTGAGACAGGGTCTCACAGTGTACCCTTGGCTGGCTAGGAACATGCTATGTAGACTAGACTGGCCTTAAACTCACAGAAATGCATCTGTGTCTGCTTCCCAAGTGCTAGGATCAAAGGCATGTGCCACCATACCTGATTCATAGGTATTCATTTAAAATAAATACGTAAATGAAGGAAGGAAGGTGGGGAATGGAGAGACAGCTCGGTGGTTACGATCACTTGCTGCTCCTGCAGAGATTTGGTTCCCAGCACCCACATGGTGCTACAAGGCTCGTAACCCTCCGAAACCCTAGTTCCAAGAACCTAATGCCCCTTTGCAGGCATCGGGTATACGTGTGCACATGCATCCAGTCAAAACCCATAAACAGACACTGAAATGTTATTACTCGGAGTGTGGGGGAGGCGTGCATGTGCTACCCACCGTGCACACGTGAAGGTCAGAGGAGAACCTCGAGGAGGAAGTCCCTTCCTTCTTCCAGGCTCTCGGGTCTGTTTGGCAAGGGCTTTGACCTGCTGAGCCATCTTGCCGGCTCAGTCCGGCTCAGTCCTCAGGTAGTCATGGGAAAAATAGTGGAGAGACGCAGATGTTAATTGGTTTAACTCGAAGTCACCTCGCAGAGTGGGTCCGGCCTGTTCCAGTCTGGTTTGATCTGTTCCAGTCTGTTTCTGGTGAGGCACAAAGCAAGGTTCTCCTTGCTTGCCTCGGTGTCTGTAGCGTGCCTGCCTCGGTGTCCTTCCTGTCTGCAGTGATGCCTGCTTCCGGGCAGATTCTCCTGGTCTTGTTTACCTCACACCCACAGAGGCAGTTCCTTCTGAGCATGTTTCCCAGGGCCGGTTCAGTTACATTTTGCTCACAACTTTTTAGCAGGAAAGGGAAGCAAGTGTACGCTGGTTGGGCTTTGTAAGGTAGCTGCTTGGTGTTCCTGTCACGAACAGTTTCCTGACCGTCTGCCTCCTCTGATCAGATGTGGGTGTCCTGTCACACTGTTCTGTTCCACCCCAGAATCCCCCCTGCTTGTGCTGCAGTGTAGAGTTGTGTAGACGTGGGTGACAGGGCACTCCCTGCCAGTGAGCATTCTGTGATTTCTGGGTCTCCCCATTTACTGTAAAGTTGCGGTGAGCCGTTTGTGCCTGTGTCTGTTCGAGTTCTGCTGTAACTTCTAAAATGGCTTCTTGCCACATACTGTTCTAAAGTGTGCTGTCATGCATGTCCAGGGGCGTATGCCTGTTGTGGTACAGGTACTAGAAGGGGTCACTCCTTTTACTGGCAAGCGGATGGTGTGGTTATCAGAAGCACTCCAGCCCCTTCCCGTCTGCCTGAGAAGGTGTCAGACCATGCATGGCTGGGTAGAAGGGGCTGGGTGGGAAGGCGGGCCCACTGTGCTGGGCCAGGGCTCTGACCAGCCCACCCACAGGCCACGCCCACCCACAGGCTCCACTCCTTCATCTAGGAGGCTGATGGGCGGATCCTGCAGGCACTCCTGGAGAAGGAAGATGAGCTGCAGCGGGTGGAACTGGTCAGGCGGGAGCGAGCCCAGGCCGATGCAGCCTGGATGAAGCAGGTCATCGAGGAGCAGCTGCAGCTGGAGAAAGCTCGGGAGGCGGAGCTGCAGCAGCTGCTGAGGTGAGGGGACAGTGCTGGGCCGGAGGCTCTGTGAGATGCCCGCGGTCCCTGGGCGGGCGGGCCACTTTTGTTTTGAGATTTCTGTCCTTGTAACTCACTCACCACCCCCAGGGAATATGTCTTTGCTAGTGGCTTCGGTAGTGACCTGGTGTTCTTCAGGGTGGGAATCTATATGGTTCTGAGTAACAATGTGTTCATGTCAAGTCTCAAGACAGCATGAGGAGATTGCTTCCAGTGTGGAAATGTTTAACGCTGCTTAGCTCTGTAACAATTGGTCTGGATCCTAACACGCTCCTGATGATAGTGCCGCCATGGTACCTTGGCTGGTCAGTACCTCTTCAGTGATCTCCTTAGCGACCCGGGACTGGGACTGCTGGCCTGTGTGCCCAGCTTTGGGGCCTAAAAGTCCAACCCATAGATGGAAATAGCCCAATGATAGGCAGTCTACACCGACGTCCAGACACCCTTATTGGCTCCTGACATGCAGTCAAGCGGTGGGTATGTGGTCATGGAGACCAGAGGAGGTTGCTAGCTGCCTGGAGGTAAACCAGTAGTAATCCCGGGAGTGTGGTGACCGGGCTCAGGCACAGGCAATACCCTCCTCCTGTCTCTGGCTTGATGGTTTTATTACCTCAGTGCTAAATCATGACCTAAAATACTTCAGCCGTGTCCTTAACTGTCATTGTCGTAGGAAAGCTGGTGTGGATGCGCTTGGCGGCTGCGTGTGCCCTCCTATCCATCAGCCTTTGGTGACGGTGTGGGGCCTCTCTTGTTCCTTTTGTGTTTGTCCAGGGAGGAGGCCAAGGAGATGTGGGAGAGGAGAGAGGCAGAGTGGGCTCGAGAGCAGACGGCGCGGGACAGACTGATGAGTGAGGTAATTCCAAAAATCACTCTTCCCCACCCCGATCATGGATTTGATTTGGAACATTCTCACCAGCATGTCTCTCAGCACCCACAGCCTCGGCGTGCTCCTCCACCCTCGAACGGCCTCCCTAGGGGCAGCAACTAGCAGTGGAGCAGCGTCTGTGAGGACTGTAGGGACCTAGCTGCCAAGTCCTTGTCACGCATGCACTGCAAGCTGTGTCAGAGTGGGCAGGGACAATCACTTCTGCATGTGGACACCGGCCACGGCTGGTGGTGCTCGTTTTTGCATAAGGCAGCCTGTGGCTTTCCTCTTCCTCACTTCAGTGACCCCTGCTGGTGGCCACAGTTATTGTCCCCTCCTTACAGGACACGTGTTGGCAGGTCTGGTGGCTTCTTGGTTCCTGGGCTGGGGCTGGACATCACAGTGCTCTGGGTCAGGGTTCAAGTTCCAAACAGCAGCAGGTGTCTGCTGCTTGGAGCAGTGGAGGGGTGCGTGGCTCCATCCCGGCGGCGACCTGTGTGGCTCGCCACTGCTGGGCTGATCTCACTGTGTTTCTCTGAAGCTCTCCCTGCCTGTGGAGAGAGCTCCCCAGAATTTTACTGTCTTCCCCAAAGCCCTGCTGTGCCCTGTAGGTTGGTATCTTTCAGGGTTTCTATCGTGATAGGCTAAAGCAACTTGAGAGGAAAGGGTTTATTTTGGCTTACAGCTCTCAGGTCACAGTCTGTCACTGAGGGAAGCCAGGAATAGACACAGAGGCCGTGGAGGAGTGCTGCTCGCTGGCTTGCTCCTCAGGACTGGCTCAGCTTGCTTCCTCATACAGCCTGGGGCTCCATGCCCAAGTGTGGTACCATCCATGGTGGGCTGGGTCCTTTACATCAGTCATTAACCAAGAAAGTTCCCTATTGACGGCCTGTAGGCCGCCCGATCGATGGAGGCATTCTCTCACTGAGATTCTTCTCAGATGACTCCAGTGTGTGGATGGAGAGGTAGAAAAACAAATGAAACTAAACAGTAGAAAACTGGCCAGGACAGCTGGGATGGGGGGAAAGAGCAGTGGGCCATACTGGGCCTGTGGCTCAGGCCTGGTGTCTCCGCATTAGGGCGGGTTAGGCTGGGTGGGTATGGATGCTGCTGTAGTCAGGGTTAGGCTTGGAGCAGATGTTTTAGACCGAAATCCAAGCCTTCTCTCCCTCTTGGCCAGGTTCTGACCGGGAGGCAGAAGCAGATCCAAGAGAAGATTGAACAGAACCGGCGAGCGCAAGAGGAGACCCTGAAACACAGGGAGAAACTCCTCAGGAGTCTCGAGGAGGGGAAGCAGTTAGCTCAGCGAGCAAAGGAAGAGAGTGAAGCGCTCAAGTCTGCCAGGAAGCAGGAGCTAGAAGCCCAGGTGGGGCCCAAGGGCAAGGGGAGCCCCTACAGGACAGGACCCTGGAGGCAGCTGGCTCTGCAGGGTTCTCAGGACACTGCAGGGCGGAGCACTGCGGGGCGGAGCTCCGAGTCCCTTGATTCCGTCCCATTGCGTGCACAGCTCCACATCCCTTTTGGCTTCTGTAGCAGCCCTGACGTTTTAAAAGAATTCTCTGTGTGCGCGTGTGTGAGCGTGCGTGCGTGCGTGCGTGCATGCGTGCGTGCGTGCGTGTGTGTGTGTCTGAATTTGGGTCTGTGCATTTGTGTGCGGTGTCCAAGGCGGCCAGTAGGAGGCACTGGATCTCCTGGAGCTAAGTCAGAAGCAGGTGAAAGCCACTCCCCTGTGGTTGCTGGGAACTGAACTGTTTCTCTGTGAGAGCAGTTTGGCCTGACCACTGAGCCGTGGCTCTGTGGTGCAGGCTTCATTCGGGTTCCTTAGTCTGCGGAAACCAGGCTGATGTCACTGTCCCTTTTCTTCTGCATTCAGTGTTGTGACACGGTTCACAGTACCATCTGCATGGCCTTTCCCAGTCCTCAGGTTCTCGTCCTGGCTGCTAGCGCTTGTCGTCAGTGTCCTTGCCTGGAGGAGGGCTGTGCCCTATAGGCCCTGTCTCTGGTGACTCTGTTCTTGGTGTCCAGGTTGCGGAGCGCCAGGTCCAGGAATGGGAAGCGGCCCGGCAGGAGGAGGAGGAGGAGGAGGAGGCCAAGCAGGCAGAAGAGCTCTCCGATGCTCTGCTGCAGCAGGAGGCGAAGACCATGGCGGAGGAGGGCTACCGGCCCAAGGTGGGTACCTGCCATGCGGTGAGCCACCATGGCCCCATCCTGAGCTCTTCTTACCTCCTCCCTGTCCGTTTGTCCCCACTGGTCATCGGCTCTGTTCAAAGGCTGCCATTCCTTGACTGGACCTCAGATGGTCCAAGAGTTCTGCTGTGGTCCCTCCTGCTTCAGCCTTTGCAGAGACCAAGAGGCTGACTGCTGATCGTGTGCCTGCCCACTCTGTTGCGGGGCAAAGTGCAATCCAGAAGAGCCATGGCCGTAGCTGGTGAGAGGTGACAGTGGGATCAGATCCCCGCTGTCCAGTGAAGCTGGGTGACCAAGAGGTCTATGCCTGTCTCCCCCTTTTCCTCTGCTCTGTCTCTTTCTGAGCATCTTTATGTGTGAGCACCGAGCAGGGCACCCTGGAGCACGGAGGAGCAAAGGCTGTCATGCCTGTCGTGAGGGACTCGCTGACTAGGCTCTGGAGCTAGGGCCACCTGGCCCTGGAATTCTGAGGGGTGTATGCTTCAGAGAGAGCATTCTTTGCTTCAGAACCAGAGGCCAGGGTAGTGAGACTGGAGTAGGTCTTCCATTTGCTGTAGAGCCTCAAACCCCTGTAGAGAGACGGCTCCAAGCACAGGGAACAGCATTTCCAAAGTCACCCGAGCATGCATCGTGTCTCGGGATGTGCTTCACAGAGCACACATGAGTGTCTCGGCACTCTCAAAGAGCCTCATTTATGGCTCAGAGTCCAGGCTTTCTCAGCGGTCCGTGAGATCTCACTTGTCGGCTCCTGATAAAGGGAGTCTGTTCCCGGGGCTCCCGACTGCTGGCCTGACTAAATGTTCTACTTTCTCTCCTCAGCCTCACGGACACCACAGAATTGCCTGGGACTGACGCTGAGCACAGAGAAGCAAGCCGACTTGATACTGCTCCAGACAGTTATACAGCGTTGGTTCTGGCCAGGGCTCAGGGTGCTGCTGGCTACTTAAGCCAGGCCTGTCAGGCACATCATGGTCCATAGACGCCAGGATGCCGTGCTCACCCAGACAGGCCCTGCAGACTCGTGTACAGTGCCGCCAGAGGTCGTGCAGTGCTTTATAAGTAGATATTAGAGTTACTCTAAGAAGTCATAGTCCATGACAGGATACGTAGGTCTCTCTCTCTCGTCTCACCTGTAGCTGTCAGTTCAGAGAGGACCAGCCAGAGGGAAGCGGGAGCTGTTTAGGTTTTAAAATTGCTGTTTAGACATCATTCTATTGAAGGCTCATAGGTCTTGGTGGAGTTATTTCCCGTTATGAGCTGTGTAGTCCCCCAGGGACCACTTGTGTATCGTGGAAAAGCTGTCAGTCTAGAAAGACAGTGACAAAGGAGCCCTTGTGTGGAAGTGTTGTGAGCCACCCCTAGGGGCTGGGGTGCTTAGTGTGGGGTACTTAACCTTTAACCTGTGTGGGCCTTGCCCCAGCTCTACGCCATCAAGAAGAAAAGAATCCTGTACAGCACTTGAGCCCAACACGTCCCACCCCTGAAGAGTCCTCAAGGTCACTTGGTTGGTTAACCTGGTAAAGGCAGGGCCTCCACTAGGGACCTCCTGAGTCTGGGCAAGGCCTGTGTGCAGCCCCCATGGGAATTAAGTGCCCAGAGGAACAAATGGCCCTGGAGAAATGGCAGGAGACTCAGAATCGCAGATGAGCACGTCCCCACTGTTAGATCCCAGCTCACCTCTGCAAGCCGCCGTGGGTCCTTGTAGTGACAGTTGCATCGTTACAACTTGTATCTTTGTATTCAAGATTCTGCACCTCTGGCTGACTGTAGGGTGTTTTCCCTGGTTATGGGAACCCAGAATCACTTAGAGAGCCGGGGTTTGAAGGCTGCGACACTTTCCTTCCACCACGGACCCGGTTCTTAGTCTGTTTCACTTCCCGCCACGGTTCTCGGCTGTGGCCATGCACTGTTTAACAGCACACACTTGCGAGTATTCGCTCTTTTCATATGCTCACTAATCGTGAAGTAAAGCTTGCCTCAGGTGTCACTGCTGCTTTCCATCGCGGTAGGCCGGATGGCGCTGGGTGTTGCTGGCATGTCATTATGTAGGGCAGGACCCCCGTCTGACTCAGTTCCTCTAAGGAGTATTCTGTATAGAGATGGGATGCGGTTGCTATGGCCAAGGAATGATGGACGCTCTGTGCAGACAGCCTGTCCTCCAGGCTGCTCCCATCCATCTCCCTAGGGGAGCTGGGCCTTAGCCACAGACACACAGACGAGATGGCACGGCATGAGACAGACCGTGCTGCCACAGGAAGTCAACACAGCCCTGTTCCTGCTGCCTGGGTTTTCGGAGCTTTCTGTTGATGAACCAAAGCAGGCTGCGACGTTCTCCATGACCTGGCCTGGGTCAGCCATGTGGAGTCTGACACCTCGTCTTTATTTGAGGAAGGGGACCTTTATGGTCACCAGGACACAGTCACGCTTCTGCGAGCAGTCCTCACACCGTTGCTTCCTTACTCACTTTCCTTCAGTTCCACCTTTCTCTATTGAAATTGGCTTTTCTAAAGCTCCTTGCAGGACTCCAGATGATCTGCACATCTGCAGCCTTCAGAGTCCGGAAGACACAAGGCTGCCTGTGTGCCGCCCCACAGTGCTCATCCTCGGATTAGCACACCAGCCCGCCACTCCCGTGTTCCTTTCCCCAGTCACTGCAGGCATGGCATTCGTGAGAGTCCTCCCGCCATGCATGCCTGAGCCCTGACTCCCAAGACAGCGCCGAGCACTTAGACCTAACCAGCCGCGCCACCTGCTTCTCCCTGCCAGCCCAGAGTTATTTCTGAACCCCTGGGCTGTGGATGGAAATTAGTTTCTCAAGATGGCTTAAGGGTTAGAAGCACTTTGTCACAAAGCCTGATGTGTTCAGCACTTGAGACCCATATGGTGGACGGAGAACAGACACTTGTGAATAGATACATGTGTGTGCGTGCATGCACACGCGTGTACACACACACACGCTGTAGCTGGTCTTTGCTACTTTGCAGGTTCTTTTTCCACCTTCATCCCCACCACACCCGTTTCTCTCCCAATATTAACTAGTAAGGGAAGAGGAGAGAGAGATCCTGAAGCTTGTTGCTTTTGTTTCTTCTTTGGACACAACTACTAACAAACCACAACCAGCCTCCCTGAGTGACCACCAACCACACCTCCCAGGGTGGTAGCGTTTACACACCCTCTGAGTAGTTCCCAGAATCCCAAACATCACACAATCAACAGAAACTCTGCAGCTGGCAAAACCACGCCTCTGCTAGAGCACGAGGCAAATCAGTGAGCTGGGAAGACAGTCAAAAGCAGTCCCACACCCCCACACCTGCGATTAAAATGAAAGCACATTCTTACGTTTTTTCTGTGTTTTTTAAAGAAATCAAAGTTCCAGAATTATCATGATGCACACAGACCCACAGAGCAAGTGAGTTCCTCTGAGCTTAACTGCAGTGACGCTGGCCTCTTCAGACATAACCTCAGGAGGGTTCACCACCTGAGGGTTCAGATCCTGACACCTCCCAGGCCTTTCAGGGTGACATGAGGCAGGCCTCTGGTTTTCAGTCGCCTCCACATGGGTACTTCACGGGACCGCAGGCTTTCTCCCACTCTCACACCATCACTCTGGAGCCTCGGTCTCATGCTAGGCAGTCATCAGATGAGTCCAGACTCCATCACAAGCCAGAATTCCGTCTGCTCTGTGTCCTCCGCTAAGTTGATGCCATCTGTCCTGGCACCAGCCCAGAGCCCAAGTTTCTCCCACCTCATCCTTATTGATGGAGATGTGCACTCCCCCTCACCCCATCTTTTCCTCAGGCTGTAGTCAGCCCTTTTACAAACTCAAACCTGCAGTGACAGTCACCGGCCTGCAGTAGCCTCCCAGAAGCCCTCCTGGGCCACGCCACCCTGCATCCTGCCCCAGGAAACAGGAAACAGCCTGGGACCAAGTTACCATGCAGGCCCTGTGAGCACCCATTCACTAAAGGTGCCCACCCACTCAAACAGCAGAACGCTCCCAAGCCAAGCTCTAGAGACACAGTCCTGTCTGGGTAGCTTAAAAAGTTGCTCAAAGAGCCGGGCAGTGGTGGTGCACGCCTTTAATCTCAGCACTTGGGAGGCAGAGGCAGGCGGATTTCTGAGTTTGAGGCTAGCCTGGTCTACAGAGTGAGTTCCAGGACAGCCAAGGCTACACAGAGAAACCCTGTCTCGAAAAAAACCAAAAAAAAAAAAAAAAAAAAACCCAAAGTTGCTCAAAGCAATCACAGAATCCCAGTTTTTAAGGAAACAAATCTGCATTACGGTGGTTTCTAACAGGATAAATGGTATTTTTCATTCCGGCCCGTGCTGCCCAGGCTGGTTTGTATGGTTTGCTGGAGATGGAATCCTGCCAGGGCTTTGTACATGCCTGGCAAGCACTCTGCCTACTGAGCTGCTTCTCCATCCTCTTTTTTTTTTTTTTTCATTTTGTGTATTTGCCTATACTTTTCCACAGAAAAAGAACAGCTGTAGCCTTTGAAGTGAAAGAAAATGTAATTTAAGAAACAAAACGGCTCTTGAGATGGCTTAGCATCTAATCTGAGCCTGATTGCTGAGCTCAATCTCTGGTTCCCTCTTGTCCCGCTCCATGGACAGAGACAGACAGACAACTGGCTGGTTCTGTATCAACTTGACACAAGCTGGAGTTATCAGAGAAAAAGGAGCCGCAGTTGAGAAAAAATGCCTCCACGAGATCCAGCTGTAAGACATTTTCTCAATTAGTGATCAATAAGAGAGGACCCCCCCCTTGTGGGTGGAGCCATCCCTGGGGGTGGTGGTTCTGGGTTCTATAAGAAAGCAGGCTGAGCAAGCCAGTAAGCAGCACTCCTCCACGGCCTCTGCATCAGCTCCTGCCTCCAGGTTCCTGTCCTGCGTGAGTTCCTGTCCTGACTTCCTCCAGTGATGGACTATGATCTGGAAGTGTAAGCCAAATAAACCTTTTCCTCTTCAACTTCCTTTTGGGTCATGATGTTTTTCTTTTCTTTTTTTAAAAAAAAAAGATTTATTTTATGTATATGAGTACACTGTCACTGTCTTCAGACACACCAGAAGAGGGGCATCAGATTCTGTTGTAGATGGTCTTAAGCCACATCTGTGGGAGATGCAGGATGGGGAGCAAGAGCCAGGTGATCACGGGGGGGTTGGATGTGAGGGTGCTGTCGAGATCACACCTATGTCTCCGGAGCCCTGCCCCACGACTACTGTCAGCATATGGAAATCGGGTGTGAGGACTTGCAATGCTTGCACAACACCGATCCAAAGTATAAAGCTCAGCTGCCCTTTCTGTTGGCTTCAGCTGACACCAGGCAGTCCTGGCGCACCGGCCTGAGAGCTCAGCCCAGACCCTGCTGGGGAGGCCCCAGGCTGATAGCTGAGAGCCTCAGAGGGGCCCCAGCCATGGCATTGAGGCTTCCAGAGGTGCTGTCAGTGGCTTCTTTGCCTCAGTTATATCAACTGTCAGATTCCTCACCTTCCCCAGGCTGGGGGAAGTTTGCCTCCTTGTGTGCTGGCTTCTTCTGTCAAATGGAGACGCACCTTCCTCAGTAAGTTACTGTGAAGACCGCAGAGGTTTATTTTGTGTGCGTCTGTGGGTACATACATGCCACAGTGCACTTGTGGGGTTAGAGGGCAACTCAAAGAAGTTGGTTTTTCTCTACCATGTAGGTTCTGGGGATCAAACTCAGGTTGTTAGGCTCTGAGGCAAGTGCTATCTCACCGGTACTCCAAAGTCACCCACGTAATGAACTGAGCAGCACCCGACAGTCAACAGCAGCTGGAATTATGATGTCTGATTGAGAGCTGGGGATGTGCCATGAGGTGTGTGGACCCCACAGTGTCTGTCTGATGCAGTACAACGCCTTCTGGTATGGTGTAGACCAGCAGCAGCGGCAGCGGCGGCTCCTGTTTCAGCACCTACACCATGCAGTCAGAGATCGGGGAGTGTGTGTGTGGGGGGGATTTGGGATAGGCTCAGTAGCTCCTCAGGCTTCTTGGGAACCTGAACCTGGCCTAGGAGGCACTCTGGGTGTGGGCTGTTGGCTCTCACCTGAGGGTTGTGGGCCCTCTCTCCTGGCAAGCTGGGCCACATGGACTGTAACATTCCACCTTGCTCAGACCTCATTTGGAGAGGCCCAGGAATGGTTCATTTGTCCCCACCTCCTTACATCTGGAAGTACCAAGTCACTTCTCAAGACACGCCTGTGGGGCTGAGGGTGGCCCCGACAAGCCCAGGTCCACGGCCCCCACACACACCTGTGCAGAGGAACTTTTCCCGAAAGGAAAAGACTGCTGGCCTCATTCTATTGCCCGACTGCCTATGCAGAAGGGGTGACGGGGGTAGGCAAGCGTACCAGGTAAGATGGACACACGGGCGAGGAGCTGGGCATGGTGGCGCATGTTTGTAATTCCAGCACTCAGGAAACAGAGGCAGGGGGATGACAAAGGCAAGACCCTATGTCAAATACAAAACAAACAGACTGTAGAGAGCACAGGAAGGAGTCTAAGCTGGGTGTCCCAGGGAATGAGACTTAAAACACCGCGTCTCCTTTCAGATACAGGGACATGGGAGCTTGCCCCCACTGTTTGAGAAAGTATTTAATCTTGGTTTCTACCCCGCCTTTGTCATTTAAGTTCCTGGATGAAAGACACACCTTCATATGCACAATAAGCCTTAAGCAGTATAAAAGCTGGGCAGCTGTCCACCCTCTGTGCTGTTAGAATCTATTCCCTATCAACAACCCCGAGTTATCACTATGTTTCACCTGGGCTGCTCTAATTCCATTTGGCCAACCCCCAGAGTCACGTTTTCTTTACTCCTACCCCATGGCTGCTCCTCCGCCCTCCTTCTGCCTTCTTCTTTTCCTCATGGCTCTCCTCTAACCCCAAACCCTCGAAACCTAAACCCCACCTATGTCTCTTCTGCCCAGCTACTGGCTGTTGGCATCTTTATTCACCAATCAGAACTAATTTGGGGGCAGGGTCACTTAGTGCCTTCAGTGGGAACTCTCTCTTCTCTGGGACAACGAGGTCTTGGGGCCTGCACTTAGCATTACAACAGATAACAAAAGACCAAACCTCAACACCCCCCACCCCCAGTCTAGAAATACCCACCAGCTGGAGGGAAGCACATGACCACACACTTAAAGAGACGATTTATTGCAAAGCTGGTGGGCACAGATTCCAGAAGGATTTTACAGGAGAGGATAGTAGCTTCAGAACCAGGATGCTGACTGAGAAGCTACCACAGGAGGATGAGCGAGAAGTTAACACCGGGTAAGCAATGTGTCTTCTTTTCTCTATGCGGCACGTTGTAAGAGTGTGGGTTATATCAAACTGGGACACGGAAGGGAAGGAAACTGGACTGCGAGCCCACGGAAGCCGCGGAGGATGAAAACATGCTACTTTCAGGCAGGGTTCTGCGACGGAGGTCACTGCAGGCAGGGTAGAGCCCCCACACTGTGCAATCAGAGTCCCGACTGTACACAACACTGGACTTAGTCTTTGGCAAGTAAGAACCATGGTGCTGAGGCCACAGTGGCTTCTGAGAATGGAGCTCGGGGCAGGGCCTGTTCCATTAATTGTATTTTCATCCTCTCTTAGAAAGCAGGGTACACAGGTGGGAAGGCAGAATCCCAGAGAGGGGACAGAGCAGCCTGATGGGATGCAGAGCTCACTCCTGCGAGGCGATGGGACCCACATGCAAAAGACGGCCAGGGTAAGCGTTGAGACAAAATGCATTTGCCTATAGGAGCAGTCTATTCTAACCCAGGTCTGTGGGCTGTGGGGCCCTCCTGCTGTCTCCTCAGGCCTCTACTTGGGAGCTTCAGCCTGAGAAGAACATGGGACTGACTGAACTCTGGTGTTCTTGAGAGCATCTGCAAACGCTGTATGTACTGACCCCATGCTCCTTGATTTCCCATGGGCAGTGTTCTCTGTGGCAGGTCTTTGCGTTTTAACGGGAAGACACTGCTCTACCTCTAACAGAGGCCTGTTCTCCCTGGGGATGGTGGGAACTAGCTCAGGATTGGAACCAGCTCCAGGGAGCCCGCCAGGAAGAGCGGTAGTCCTTGAAGCACAGAAAAGCTTGTCAGAGACGATGCCCGAGCTCAGACTGGCAAGCCCCTTTCTAAAGGCCCCCTTGACATCCCACAGCCAAGTGGCATTTAGGGTTGTAGTATCGATGGGTGGGCAGGGCTCTGGAGTGCTGACCCCTTCCCGTGCCACATAGTGTGGGTGAGCTGTGCTGTGGGCCTGACTTTGTGGTGATGCTGTTTCCGGGACAATTTGGTCATGCTGAGATGGGGATTTATGAGTCAGGCTCAGCACAGTGAGGTCACCTCGCTCCGGTCGTTCTATGGGAGACTGATGGATGCCTTCCAGGGCTGGCTCATCCAGGGCTGGCTCACAGGTGCACTCATGTGCAGGTTACAGACCCTGGTAGAGGCTGTGAGAGGCAGCGAGACGCTACAACTCATGTCTGGATTGACTGGCCACATTTCTAATTAGAAAAATGTCAAAAAACAACCCAAATTTTTGGTACCTTAAAAAGCCAAAGTGCTGGCAGTCATAGGTCTATGTTCCACATCAGCATGAGGGGCATGAGTGGGAGAAGCTGCTGTCCTCACAGGCTGGGGAAGTCCCCAGCTGCTCTCAGCTGTGCAGCTGGCTGGCATCATGGCCTCTGCCTGCTCCCTCAGGTCAGGGCCTGAGCTCCACCGGGACAGAAGAGCTGCAGTAACTGAAACGGCCCAGGCTCTAATAGTCAGAACAACAAGGTGCCTTCAGCACAGCAAATGCCAGTGCTGCCGTGGCCTGGGTGTCAATTTCTGCCCTTGTGGAGCTTTGGGAGAGTGGCCACCAGCCACCAGCCACCAGCTAGGGCTCACAGGGAACTCTTCCTGCAGTGCCATAGGATTTCTAGTTGTGATATACCCGTGAGGGGATGGGTAAACTGAGGCCCCGCATGTCTTACCTGGGAAGACATCCTTCCAGAGGAGACAAGCGGAGGATGCCAGCAGGCCTGAGGCTGACCCGCGGCTCTCTGCCTTAGGTTCTCAGTGAGCTGTCTGGCTTGGAGGGGAAGGTAGGCTCCCGACAATGGGTGCCCCTGCTCTGAATGTGGCCGACTGGAACCTGACGTAAAGGGTGGACTCGTAACTACTTTTTTGGACATTATGGAGACTTCAGCATGATGGCAAAATCTTTATAGATAGAAAATCAAGATAAAAATATTAAATAAGACAACACTTAACATGATACAAAAGTTAGAGACGGGTCAGCTCCTTGTCACTCCCAAGAGATGTGCTTTCTCCAGGAAGTGGCGAGGCCCTGTGCTCCACGCAGACCTGGAGACGCCCCAAACTCAGGATGGAACGCTGACTTATTGCACGATGCTTGTGAGGAACAGATGCTGCTGATTTTTTTTAAAACTTGACTTTCTTATCCCTTAAGAAAATGTTTTACTAAAAATATCAAGTATAGTTTTAGGCATGGCTACACTTTATATGATGGGAGAGTTGTAACAAACTCTGAACCATTCCTTTTAGACACACGGGGCTGTGACCTAAGCACTTGGTGACGATCCGACGGGACAGAACTAAGTTGCAAACAGGAACAAATGAGGCAAGGGTTAAATTACAGTCAAAAATCTGTTAGAAAACATGCAAAAATAATACTGAGTTTTCTTTTAAAAAGTTTGAAAGCATCATTAAACGTTCTGTAAAAACCTGAAGAGTTCATGTCTACACCACAGCTGACTTTCCAGACAACAGGTGGACAGCGCCACTCAGCTGGTGTTCTCTTTGGTGGTGATTGTGACCAGCTGTTTGGCGGCCTTGGCGATGTCATAGGCACATTGGATGACCTGCTGGGTGACCAGCTGCACATCTGTGGGCAAGCCCGAGTCTCCTGGGGAAGCCTTTCTGCACTCCGACTGGAGCCGGTAGGCACTGGACGTGAGTAAGCGGAGGGAAGTCCTCACTGTGTCAGACTTGGGTTTCTGAAATGAAAAGTGTAGCTGTTCGCTGGGGACTGCAGGGTTGGTAGCCAGCAACACGGAGTGAGCCTGCTCCCAAGAGCAACCTGAGCTGCTCCAGAAAGTCCAACTGCTTTCAGTTGGGTATTTTATTTTATTGGTTTCTTTGAGACAGGGTTTCTTTGTGTAGCCCTGGCTGTCCTGGAACTCACTCTGCAGACCAGGCTGGCCTTGAACTCAGAAATCCGCCTGCCTCTGCCTCCCAAGTGCTGGGATTAAAGGCATGTGCCACCACCACCCAGTTAGTTGGGCATTTAAAACAGTCTCGGCTTTTACAACTCATGGCCTACTGAGAGAGGAGAAGCTATTTCAAGGTATTTTAACAACCAATCATCTAGGTGATATATCCTAAACTCCAGTGCGCTGCCTTGTAGCACCTGATTTAAACACCGATGCCTTATCCACGCATACTGAAAACATCTGAAAGCCCTTAAGACGACATATTTAAAAACAATGTGCCACAGAAACCTAAGCCAAAGGTTACGGGCTGTAAAGCTTGGTGGTCCAGTGCTGCCTAGTGCGCACAGGGCTCAGTTCCTCACTACAGAACAGAAAGAAAGCCGTGCCGAGAAGCTCATTGGAAGAGTAAACAGGAAGCGACTTACTTTGGGGAACAGGGCTGCCATCTCGGTCACAGCGACATGTATCCGCTCTGAGCAGGGAGTATAGCTGTAAGACATCGGGGAGGCTGTTAAAACGCAGCTCAAACACGTCAGAGGAAGCGAGTCCGCAGAGGCGGGACAGGCTCCGTCTCTACTCAGTGAATGAAGGCAGGACGGTTTGCCTGCCCTGTGTGCTGGACAGTAGGCACATGGCTACAAGCAGGCTCCCCGTCCTGTCACGAACACGCATTGGCCCTGAGGCCAACAGTCTGAAATCTGCAGTATGTGACAGGGCAACAAGCTGAGACAGCCACAGCTTAGTTACCCCTCGAGTCTACCTGCAGATGTCCGGAAGAGGAGCAAGGGTCTGTGTCACTGTCCATGAAGGTGACGAATAAAGGGCTGGAAACATTCCCTTAAATTCCAGCTGGCACCTACACATCACCGTCATGTGCCGCTGGCCAATCAGCCCACACAGTTCCGTCCATTCAGATGCTCACAGCAGCAAGGAGGCGTCTCCTCATCTCTGCCTCTTTCCCCAGCGTGGCGGCTGCCGGGTGGTGAGAACAGGCTTAGGAGGCCTCTTTCTCTTTAGCACCTGACAGAGCACCTGATGGCTGACTCACTGAAACCCACCATACAGGTCTGCAGCCTGAGGACTGACTATGTGCCACAGGACGCAGAGGGACAAACATAAGCTGACGGGCCTGAGGGCAAGTTCTTACTGCAACACTGCCACCGAGCCGGGGCTTTGTGTGCAGGCCTGCCCACTGCCCGGGAAGGACATGGGCACGGGGAAGCAGAGCACTTTTGGAGGCACTTTCTGCAAGGAAACATCAGCAAGACTGGAGCAGGTCTGGCCTGACAAAGCTGTTTCTAACCATCACAGACTCAGGGCCTCAAGGAACATTCTTTCCCTGTTTTTTTAAATCATAAAACTGACTTCTGGTAAAGTCTATTAAAAAGCATCTCTATTTGTAATTTTATATTAATGTGTGTGTGTTGGCGAGATGACAGACCCGTGACCCTGACAAGTGAGGCTGCAGGACAGCTGAGGGGCAGTGAGGGGACTTCCTGGACTCAGTTAGCTAGAACCAAGAGGGAGGTGCAGGCGCACCTCAGCGAGCTTCAGCGACATCTGTGAGAAAGGACGCAGAGGGGTGAAGCCGCCCCAGCTCACACCACGTCCACGGAAAGCACACAGCGCCAAATCATTAATAAGGGCAAATCCTCTCGGCCACTTCTAGCTTCCGAAGCAGAAGCCAAGGATTTTGAGATCACTGTTTGCTCCTGATCTTTAGAACAAAGGAGATCAAATCGTCAAAGGTGCTGACGGGTTTCCAGGTAAGAAGTCTTCTCACATTGAAGCAAATGCCACATTGCCATCTCTGAAGGCTGATATGGCCGCAGGCACACGTGGACATTTCTGACAGCATCAGGGAGCGATCAGTTTAGTGCAGTTTGTGACACAGCGGGGTTCCTAACTGGGTAAGGAATCAAGCACTGTACAGGCTCCGACATGACATGACATGACACACGCGGAGCCCAGGGAGTCCTGGGAGCAGCAGTGGCCAGAAGACTGACCTGCTAGTTGGGTAGTTTTGTTTCTTTTTTTTTTTTTTTTTTTAAAGATTTATTTATTTATTATATATGAATACATTGTAGCTGTCTTCAGACACACCAGAAGAGGGCATCAGATCTCATTACAGATGGTTGTGAGCCACCATGTGGTTGCTGGGATTTGAACTCAGGACCTCTGGAAGTGCAGTCAGTGCTCTTAACCACTGAGCCATCTCTCCAGCCTGGTAGTTTTGTTTCTATTTGTATTTGTTTTCAGATTTCCTTTTTTTTGTTTTGTTTTTGTTTTTTGAGACAGGGTTTTTCTGTGTAGCCCTGGCTATCCTGGAACTCACTGTGTAGACCAGGCTGGCCTTGAACTCAGAAATCCACCTGCCTCTGCCTCCCAAGTGCTGGGACTAAAGGCGTGCGCCACCACTGCCCGGCTCAGATTACTTTGTAAGATGATGAAAGGAATAAAAGTACCACACTGACATGGTGCTTACGTTTGCAGCCACCCTGAGGGGGAGCGGCACTCAGAGGCCCCTGGCACGCTCTCCCAGAGCACTGTGGCATCCGTACCTGTCATGCTTGTTCTCCTGGGCTGCTCTTAGGAGCTCCTGGATGTTTTTGGTGATCTGTTCAGTCTTCCGGATGACATCCTCTGTGCTGGGGAGGGCGGGGCTGGGGACCAGGCGGGGCTCTGCTGTGTCCGGCAATGAGCCATCACCTTGCCAGAGCGTACTCCGCTGCCGTCCCTTCCGGTTTGACCTGTGGATGGTGAAGAATGGCTCAGCATGACAAGCACTCACTAGCAGTCTCTGCTTCAGTGACTCACACCTCTGGCACTCCAGCAGGCTGGACCTGTGGTCTCCTTCCTCCTGTTTAGCAGGAGGCCCCTAAGCTCTGCTTAACAGCTGGCTCCTAGAGCCACACTGAGCCCTTCCCACTCTGTCCTGGGCTGGAGGTTAGGGCTGCTGTAGACAGGGTGAGGGAGTTGGAGGGACTAGCTGCTGCAGGGGCACAGCTACACCCGGTCACCCCTGCAGGCAGTGCCTTGGAGACCGGTGTGGACAGCACTGACAGCAGAGCAGAAGGCTCTGCATGTCGGCAAAGGGCAAACAGCTCGGTGGTCGTGTGAGCACAGAGACATAGGTTATGACCGAATGACCACAAACACAGGCCGTGAGGTGCAGGCCTGCCGTGTGTGCACTAACAGCCCACCCCTGCGCTCTCGGCACGTACGCCGTGTCGTCTGGCTCAGGGTCATAGGCAGTGTTGTCGTAATCGCTCTCCGGGGTGCTGTTCTGTTTCTCCAGCCTGGAGGCCTAAAAAGAGAAGGGAGCCCATTAGTTTCGGGCATCATGGCCTCCCTCAGTCCGCCAGGCCATGTCACCGTCACACCCAGAGCTCATTCGGGACAAGAACCAGCCCTTTACTGGAAATCTAGTAAAGATGAGTGAACAGTAGGTACAAAAAGTGGCTTTTCAACTTATGCACCATGTCTTCTTGATTCAATAGCAAGTCCTAAAGAGATCCCGGTACAGCCAACAGTCTGACAGCCTCATGCAGACACATGCACACCCACGTCGTGCAGTCACCCCGGTACAGCCAACAGACTGACAGCCTCACGCAGACACATGGACACCCACGTCGTGCAGTCAGTAACAAACACACTTATCTGAATACACACTTCAAAGCCGGGCGCTAACTCTAATGACCTGGTTTAACACCAGATGAGAAAAGGACCAGACTAAGCTAGCTGGCCACCTGCAGGCAGTCTGCAGGAGGAGAGGACAGGAGGCCTCTGAGGGCCCCTCTGTCACCACAGGCTTGGGAAGCCTCATGGCCGCTGCTAAAGCTGACTGGAGGGAGGGCTTTCACGAGCGCTCAAGAAAGCCAGCCCTGGGCTGCCTGGGAACCAAATGGATCAGCCCTGTACAGCCTTAGTTCCAAACGCTTTCCTTGTTTCTCAGAATATTTACCCCTGAAAATACAGAGATTAGGTCTAACTGTGGAGATTATAATGGGCTGTGTTTTCCCAGCAGGACTCTCTTAAGACCTTTCAATGAGAGGGCTGTGACGAGGACGGCATCCTCTGGAGAAGTCTGGCCTGGAGCGTGCGAAGAACCCATTTCTCAGTGTTCATCTCCCTGTGTGACAACCCCTCATCCAGGCGTTGGCATAAGCCGATGAAAACCTTAAACTGATTACTGATTAGCTATTTCCAGCCGTGTAGCCTGCATGTAGGCTAGGTGGTCTACCTGGTGCAGGGGAGGGGCAGAGGCTGCCAAGGTAGAGGCTTTGCTAAATCACAGGAGACGGGTAGCCTTATCCAGAAAAATGGCTGCCAGAGGAAGTTGGTCGGTCGGGCAGTCTGCGTGAGGCCTGTGGCTCAGGCAGCTCTGAGGGGTGGTGCCTGAGACCTGCCACACTTTGCCCCCTCCACCCCTGCTGAGGCCCTTCACAGTCCCTCCCGGACTTCCTCTTTCCCACTCTATGGCGGGCACTGGGGTTGGCCTCCTGAAATCTACCATGAACGTTTTCACCACTGCAGGTCGTCCAGCAGGGGACTAAGCGTGGGCTTGGAGCTTTAGGAGATTATCAAGCGAAGTTTGTAAATTCCTGCTCCATGGCTAAGTCAGTGGGTACCTGACACTAGAGGCCCTGGCAACAGAAACAGAGGACACCATATTCGTGCAGGGGCAGTAAAATCAGGATCTGGTGGTGCTGAGCTCAGAACCCCACCTCCCTAAGACCTTTCTTACCTGTAAAGGAATGTTTGACTAATCATTACTTAAAAAAAAAAATTCAAACATACATGCACACACACAAACTGAAATTTAACTATGTTGGACAGTTCATTGAAACTGCTCCAATGGGGAGAAAAATCTAGAAGACAGTATTAATACCCTCCACAACATACATTTTGGGTTTTGAGCCATGTTACTATGTAGGCCAGGTTTGGCTTAAATTTGCAAATCCTTTCGCCTCCTGAATCCCGGATCTCTGTAACAGATGCTGCTGCTTTTCCTGATATCTCGATGACAGTTAGAGACTGAATACATTACCCAGAGTGGTCAGCAGTGCCAGGGTCTGTTTGAGAATCTCAGAAGAGTGACACACACCCACTAACGGCATTCAGAAAACGCTCTTCCAGTGCAGTGTGCAATTACTTACGGACTGAGTCCTCCGTCAAAGCACACGGGAGTTCAGTGAGCCAGCATTTACGATTGTAAGTTACAGTGAGCATGCAGGGCCAGGAGTGTTAAAGTGCTGCTCTCTCAGAGCGGTTAACAGAAAAGTTCCCTTGTAGCTGCTGCTGGGTCAGTGATTTAACAACTTGCCATTTCTCTACACAGACAAACCACAGACACCTAAACCAGGACAAAGCTGCCAGGAGCTGATCCCGGGTGACTTCACTGCTCACTGCGCACACGACCACTTCAGAGACCGGTCCCTTTGAAAGCTACCGCCACGGCACAAATGAAAGAAAACTACAAAACTGTATGGTAAGCCAGGCCTACCTGACTCTCATTAACATAATGACTAACAAAATGGGGGATTTCCTTATTACTCTGCTGTTCCTTAACCAGCATTTGGGCCAGAAACTACAGTGCACTCCAGGGCTGCTCAGAACACTAGATGTGCCAGCTGCAAGAATTTGTCTGACTTCACTACTTCACAAGGGCTGTAAGGAAACTCCAAGGGGCCTGGCTAGCCAGTGGCCCTGGCAGTAGTGGACAGGGGTCCTTAGCACTCTGAGGGGTGGAGGCACGCGGAGGCTTGCTGGGGAAGGTGGTCGGTCTCTTGCTCGCTGTTCCCATCCTTCTTTTCACCCTTGCTACAGACAGACGGAGCTGGAAGCCGAAGGGCAGGCTTCCAGCCCCCGGGCTCTCCCCGGTCTTCCACAGGAAAAACCGGTATGCTCTCTGTGCACGTGAAAACATTTCTCTTTTCACACAATGTCCCTTTGGGACCATGTCACTTAAATCCTTTGCACACTTTAGCTGCCTTTCTTAAAGGTGGGTGTCAGGGAGGCCCCTGGAATGTGAGTCACACATCAACATTAGGGTCCGGTCTACCATTCCAAGTGGACAACTTTAAGCCTGTCACCACCTCACCTATGTACTGCTGACATGACAGCACCAACTGAGGGTGGGGCTTGTCAGATAGGATGGTGCTAACAAAGTAAGTCAGCAGTTAAAAAAAAAAGCTATGATACTTTTGTGCTAACTCAAATATACTTTTAATAACTGTAGCTCAAAACACCTGGGTGGATTGCCATTCTATGTAACCAGTAGCTAACTAAAGTTTTGTTTGCTTAACAAGACAGTGTGCTTGGAATGTGTGCTCTAGGTGATTGGTGAGGTGGTTAGACAGGTGAGAAGAGGCAGCGTGGGGTCGCACAGTGTGAGGCAGAGGGAGGCCAGCTCTCCCCAGATCGGATGTGCATAGCTGCACGTGTCTGCTGCCGTGAGAACCAGGAGCCAAGCTGCTTCATGCAGGACAGAGGGCAGTTAGCAGGGGTGGGGGCACCAGGGCCAGCACCCAAGCACAAAGCCAAGGCGCACTGCCCCTCCTGCAGGGCGGACCATCCAGAGTGTACTTAACCCTTCGGGTGCTTTCGTCCCTGGACCAGGAAAGTGTGGAGGGGAAGGAAGGCAGAGACGAAGAGGAGGTCACAAGTGCACTCCTCCCAATCTGGAAGTGGAGAGAGAAACAGGCTTGGGAAAACATAAAACAAACGAGTCCCCCTCCCACCCACAGCTCACCCAGGTCCCACAGCTCGGGGACAGCTGTGGCACAGGGATCCCTAAGGAGGAAAGCGCCTGCTGGAAACCGCTCTGCACTTAAGAGGCCACTTGTCCTTACGGAAAAGAGTCCATGCCATCGCAGCCACATGTGGCATGGCTGTTAAACCGGCTAATGCCTACAGTGCCGCTTGCTCTCCGTTGAGAGGGACAGCACTACACAGCGCTATGGACGACTCTGAACTGGTGTGCATATCACCCCGGTCCTCACACTTAGGATCAAGTACACTGCATAAGCTACCAAGACGAGGTTGTCTAAGTTTTGTTTTCAGTTTTATAAAACTCAGGTTCTTTTTACTTAGTTTGGTGGCAACTACACCAGGTCAATGAATGGTCTTCAAGCGCTGAACCCAAATAAAGAGAAGCTGAGAAAACAGACTCCTGCACACCCGGTCCTCAGGTACGTGACCGTGCTAAGGTCTCACGGGATTCCAATTGGTTTCATCCATTAGATCGTACTGTCCCCTTCACATCACCCCAGGAATCTGACTGAAGCGCTCCGTGTGCTCTGGAGAACTCATTTTGACACTCCAAAGGAGAATACCACACTCTGAAGGAAGAACTACGAAAGTTTATCCCTGCAGCATTCTGTGCAAACAGACACCTTCACGATACATCACTCCAGAAGACAGGACAGTTTCATGTTTGAGAACCTGGCATCCCCACGCGTGCCTGCACAGAGCGGCTTTGACCGACACTTGTCGGTGGGCAGACACTTTCCATTAGTTACTTATTTCCTTCATGCTTCTTTAAAGGTTTTGGAGATAAGATCTTATATGGTCCAGGCAATCCTCCTGCTGCAGCTCCCTGAGTGTGCTGGCATAATGGCTGCTGACACTGCATCTTTCTGAGATGACAAGCCATGCTACTAGGCTCTGGAGGTCAGTAACCAGGTTGCTGAAGGTCCGACTCTCTCAACTCCATGTGCCCAGTCACAGGGCCCAGAAGAGCACCCTGGGGCCTGAGAGTTCCAGCTCATGAAGGGGCGTGTCTCTGCCTACTTACGTATGAGTGCTGACTGCCCGTCTGTGTGCCACAGGCATGCAGAACCCTGGAGGGCCAGAGGAACTGTTAAATCCCCTAAAACTAGACTTGCAGCTAGGTGGGAGTGGGCTATGTGCTGTGTGGGTGCTGGGAACTTAACCCACGTCCTCGGCAAGAGCGGCCAGTGTGCTCAGCCATTGAGTCATGTCTCCAGACCCAACCTCTGCCTATTACAGAGACAGACATTTCTGTTAGTGACCTTTACAATTGGCTTTTGTTTGCGGAACTCAGGAAGGAAGCTTTACACAAAACATGCCAACAGAGGCTGCCTGGGATTCCATCATGGAAACAGGAGCTGAAGGGGAGGAGCTGAGCAAGAGCCAGAATACCCAACTTCAGCCAAGCCCTCAGTCCCCAAGCCCACAGGACCAGGAGCGTCTTCGGACACAGTCACTCAGCAAACACAAGGGACCTGTCAGAGTCCAGAGATCTTCAGGGTCACAAGAGGGAACACACAATCAGATTGCACAGCAGAAATGGGACACACAGCGGTGCTACTCACATGAGTGGGGAAGGGTTGAAGCCTCGTCCGGCTTTCTTCAGGGTGGTTGGCTTCTCCCATTGGGAGGTATGGTTTCTGGCCTGATCCAGTCTCATACATGGACATGGGTCTACTGCCCCGGGCAGATGGCCGGCGCTTTAGGGAGGCGTGGCTCACAGTGTCTTTGTGGTCAGAGCCAGTCTGCACCGGACAGGTGCTGGCTGTGGCTTGTCTTCTGAGGCTGGAGTTCTCAGTCTGTAGAGTCTGAAGCTGAAAGAGAAGGTTGGCAGTGGCCTGTGTGTCTGCACACCAGGCAGACATAGCAAGTGTCAACTACACCAACAGAACGTGACCTCATTAGAGCATAAAGCTAGCTGGGCCACACGGGGAAGCCATGACAGCTGCTCCTCCTTCCGGAACAGCCCACTGTTTCCACCTCACAGGCTCATGAGAAACTCAATTCTAACCACCTAAAGAGTTGTCATGGTGGGGCCAGAAAACATGTGCAGACAAGCACATGTTATTCTGGGTTATTCTAAGGCCATCTCGAGGAAGAGGTTCAGAACATTAACTGTGACTTTCTTTCCATGGCCCTGAGTGACCTGCAAACGAGAAAGTGACAGGAGACACCACGGAAGCTGCACAAAGATCATCAGTTGCTGTGCCAAGCAAGAGAAGGTGAGGTTCAGCCCAGAAAAAATTTCAGTGTCTATTGCCTTCTAAAAAGCCAACAACAAAACTTGGGAAAATTCTTATTGCATAGCACTTTTGATATTGTAAACAATTCAAGCATATCTCCAAACCATGATAAATTTGCTAACTTAACGTATCACGAGAACCTGGCAACCTCTCGGACTACGTTAGCGTCCTCAAGCGGAGGGCACTCCGTGAGGCACCCTGGCTCCTCTCTGGAGATCAGTCCTTCTCTGTAGGGCTGTTACCTGGCCTCTCTCTGGTTTGGCTCTGTTACCCCAAAACCATGCAGTTAGTGATGTTTTTAAGTGGGCCGGGCTGCCTGGTGCCACCTCATTTAGGTCAGACACTGACACCTGGAGACCCGGAGCCTGTGTGGCACCTCCATGTCACTACAGATGCTGGAGAGAGGATGAGTTCTGCCTACTCTGACAGAATGGACGCTCTGACCGCGCTGTCCTCTAGCGCCAAGGATTAAGTCCGTAAGCCACCATGTCTGCACCAGGGGGTCCTAATGTTCCAAAAGCAAGTTCATGCAGTATTGGGAGTTAACTTTCAATTTTTATTTAGAAAGCACTGATCTGTGGAAAATATATCAACAGTGGCCGGTGCTCTTCAGTAATTAGCACTGTTTCCAAGCAACTGTTCAATGTGAAAAATTGGATATAAATCACACTGCTTTGCCAACTCTATTAAAAACTATCAAGCTTTGAAATAAAAACAGCACACCCTTTGCTATGTGAGCAGGCCCCACGTCTCTGTCTGCAGTGCCCGCTTCTGCAGAAGCATGGCCTCCCAGCCTGCAGGCCCCACGTCTCTGTCTGCAGTGCCCGCTTCTGCAGAAGCATGGCTTCCTTGTCTGTATTTGTAACCTCCTCTTCAAAGAGGAGAGCCCCTAGACATTCTTGCACTCCAGGACACAGACAAGTGTGAGAGGCCTGTCAGGATATGAATGGGGAATTGGGTGGGGCCCAGAGAGAGAGACAGAGACAGAGACAGAGACAGAGAGAGAGAGAGAGAGAGAGAGAGAGAGAGAGAGAGAGAAGTGTAAGTGACTACCTCCCTAGATGCAGGGCTCATGTGTCTGCCTAAGCTAAAAGCTCTCTGTGGTTATTCAGAGCGCACTGTAAAATTATAACACCTTCAATGCTGTTGCTGCCTCTGAAACATCCAGTCTGGATTTTGGCCAGCTGTCTTGAGACGAGCACAGATCCTGGTTTCAATCGCCTCAGCCCCTCCATTCACAAAGGAAATTTAATCCAGGTCCTCAACCACAGAGGCACGTGGTCTACCAGTGCCTCGCCCCTGGTACACCATGCCCAGAAGATGAGACAGGGTCCAAGTTACTTAGGCTGGCCTTGAACTAGTTCTTAGCCCAAGAAGGGCTGGAACTTGTGATTCTTCTGCCTTAGCCTCCAAAGTAGCTGGGATTACAGGGAGGTGTCCAGTTTAAAAAATTAATGACTCTGCATTTACAAAACTGTCCTAAGATAGGTTTTAATGATGTTTATAAGAACCAGGCTATGCTCTGGAAAAAGTATGGCAGTAAATAAAAACGTTACAGATAATTTAATAGTTCAGAAATCACAGGCATCTGTACGATAATAATGGACAATGGTTCTGCTCGTCTACATGCTTATCTGAGTGTGCGCGCGCACGTGTGTGTGTGTGTGTGTGTGTGTGTGTGTGTGTGTGTGTGTCTGAGTGTGTATCTGGGTGAGTGCACACCACGGCTCTCGTGTGGAGGTCAGGGAGTCTGGGGACGTGAGCTCAGGTCAGCAGGCTTGGTGCACGTCTCTTACCCACTCAATCTCTCCGCAGTCTTTGCTCTACAGTTCTTAGAGAAACTCAGAGACCTGCTTCAGAGACTTGAGTTGTCGCTAGCAATTAAAATAAAAACAAAGGATGACAGTGACTGCGTGTGTACGGTGTCTGCGTGTGTATCGTGACTGCATGTGTACCGTGACTGCATGTGGTGGTCAGAGGACAACTCTGTGGACAACTCTCTTCTCCGGCTTTCTGTGGGCTCCTGGACTTGAAGTCTAGCTGTCAGCTTCTGCAGTAAGTTCCTTTACCTGCTGAGCCATGTCTTCAGCCAACACTGAGTTTTCCTTACTAATCTTTTGCATATACGTGTGTGCACATGTGTGCTGGGGAGGCTGCAGTCACTCTCCTGCATACACGGAGACAGGAGTCTCACTGAACCCGGGGCGCTCGTCTGGCTAGCACCTTGCTCTGGAGACTCCGTCCCTGCTCCTGCTGCTCGGGCACTGCAGGGGACCACTGTGCCCAACTGGTTTTTGACATGGGTTCTGGGGGTCTGCACTTCAGTCCTCTGCTTGCCTTTCCCTGAGCCATCTCCACAGCACACGGCCTCTATGAACACTGAGGGAGAAGCATGGGTAAGAAGGTGAAGCCCGGCAGGCCGACTATCAAAGGCAAGTTTCAGAAAAGCAAATCGCCCAAGAAGCTGGGAAGGACGGTGACGGCATTAACTACCACATCTGTGGATCCTGCTCAGAAACGGGGGAGATGGAGTCCCCTGCTGCAGCAAAGGGCTCTCGGCCTCCTGCTCGCAGCTGTGCACTAGCCTACATGGAGCTGCGAGCGAGGCAGGACGGGGCACCGGTCCACAAGAGCTCCGCATCTCACCCTCTGCACGGCAGCACGAGAGCTGCTGGCTGCACAGGGCTCACGGCCTCGCTCCTCAGCTCGCACTTGGGAAGCTCCTTCTCTGGCTTTCCTTTAGAAGATGCACCTTGTGACCGGGTCTTACAACATTCTGAGTCTGAAATAGCATTCCTCAACAACAGCATAAAACCAGTCTGGTCTGGTCTGCACGGGGTGCACAGAGAGCTTCTCTCAAGACAGTCAGTGATGACCGTGGTGCCCACACTCTAGGGCACCGCCGGTACTTTCCAGTCCGCTGCTCTCACCCATCATCCTCCCCGAGCATGGGCCTTTCCACTACCGACCTCTCCTCCAGGAGAATTCACTCATGCAGTTCGAGGGCCGGGAGCAGGGGTTCTCACCCTTCCTAACACTGTGACCCCCAACCATAAAATTGTTTTATTGCTACTTCATAACTGTAATTCTGTGTTTTCCGATGGTCTTAGGTGACCCCTGTAAAAAGGCCGATTGATGTCCCCAAAGGTTGAGAATGGCTGCCCTAGGGGACTGGCTAGGATAGTGCGTGTACATGGATTGTCTCTCCTTGCTAGTACAGGCAAAATATGTGGCAGTGTCCTGTGTGTCAAGCCTTGCTCTAAGGGGTGACAGCAGGCTGAGAAGCTGGAGACGGTTGCCAGGGTAGCCGTCAGAGTCAGTGCTGACAGAGAAAGCATCGCAGTAGTGTATGCTGGACACGCTGACGAGCTTTTGCCTGCTCTGTCTGCATGGTGTGATTCATCTTAAGAATCAGCAGCAGGTATAGAAAATCACATCCAAGCAGTAGCTTCCAGATTCCAGAGAAGCCCAGGATAGGGCAAAGCTACGTTGTCTCACACGAACACTGGGCTGCTAGGTCTCTCCTAGTGGAGTTTACTCTGAATGTATTTTAAGATGCAAACCCAAGGCCTTGTGTCCATATGTACACTGAACTAGAATCCCAGCCAAGCACAGACCCTGGCCCAGGGCCTTCTGCATGCTAGGCAGACGCACCACATTGGGCTAGAGTCCCTGTCCTACTCTAAACACATTTCTCATCAAAGCACTGCATTTCAAACATTGACACACAGCCTGCTTTCGAGAGGACGGCTTGGCCCCAGTACATCTAGGTCTGTTACAATGTTTTCTTCCCTCTGACCACAAGCATGGTGGCTGGGATCAACGAGTCAACCATCCTGGCATTTATTAATGTGTTACCTTTTTCTGCATAATTCTCAGCTCGTCACTCAAGTTGTTATTCACCTTCGTTAGCTGCTGTCTCTTGGCCTCAGAAGCCACTAGGGCGCTTTTGACCTCCATAAATTCCTGCACAGTGACTGGTCCATCTGACAAATCTGAATCTAGGCTCTAAAAATAAACCGGGAAAATGTTCACAATCTGAGATGATAATGTTAAAGACTACAGCTAAAGAATGTCAATCTCTGGCCACGCCCGCTGAACTGTAAAGGTAAACCAAATGCAAGGCAGGGCACGACAGGACCGTGACACTGCGGCAGAGTATCCTAAAGGAGCAGGCAGGGCGCTGCAAACCTGTGTAGACACTGGCTGTCTAATCTCTGCCCTGACCTGCATGCATTGTCCGTGCTAATTTAAAGAACTCATTCTTCCAGGAATTCATTCATTCCACACTACCTACTAGGTAGTTTCAGGTGGGCTATAACAGAGGAGAGACTGCTGCGACCATGGCGTTCACATTCCAGTAGCAGGACAGAGGGAGTGACTGACATGCTATACAGCAGGGGGAGCTGGGAGGCGTGCCGGGGGAGCCGGGGGGGCTGGGGGAGCTGGGAGGCGTGCCTGGGGAGCCGGGGGCTTCCGTGAGAGTGCTGGAGGAGGAGGTTCCAACCACCAGCAGAGCTCAGCTAGAGTCAAGGGACTGTGGGAGCCTAGTCAATCAGGGGAGGGTCTATCCTGAGGGCCTGGTAATGGTCTTGGCTGTCACTGAATGGACTGGCACTGGGCAGTCCAGGCAGAGGTGTCCCTTCTGCCAATGTAAAACAGCAAATGCTAGACACATCTAAGTCTATCTCCCTGCTTCAAACATGCAACCTTGCCAGCCTAGCTTCTTGTTTAGTTCTTACTCAGTGTCTGTGGAATGCCGTCTGGGTCAGTCCTGGGGATTCAGACCACAGTGGGGTTGGCCCTCTCCCCTGTTCCCTGAACAGTGACTTGGTCTCTCTCCCTGGGCCCCCCTGGCCGAAGCCCTGAGGCAGCTCTGCACTGCCCTCGAGAACTAAGTTCTTCACTGTGGTGACCTGAATCTCTGCACTGTTTGGGACTCTTTTAGGCAGTTACTACTCATGATCAGGCTTGTCCAGAGGCCATGGCCGTTCCTTCGAACTGCCCAGACTTTGTTGTCTACTTTCTAGACTGGGCGCAGGCCAGCACGTCCTGCCATCTCAGAGCCCTGCACTGTCAGGAGCCTCCTCCCTTGATGTTCTCTTCCAACTCCCTCACTTCCAGCCTGTCTGGCCTTGTGATGCGCACCCCCTGTGCAGTGTATGTTCTACTGTCTCCTCTTCCCGATCAGTGACGTCGAAGGACGGGCAGGAGCTGAGTACACTAGGAGGATGACACAGAGAAGCCACTCAACAAATACTCGAGTGCATAAAAGCCTGAGGTCCTGACCACAGCCAGAGTCACAGCTGACCCCTCACCTGCTCAGGGACAAAGGGCCTTTTAAGAGCATTTACTTTTTATCTTTGCTAGGCTTGAGTCAGCAGTGAGCCCAACTTCACGGCTCTCCCAGCACCTTCCAAGGCCTAATCCTTAGCACGTTTTATTTCTTCTGCCATGTGTATGTGTGCTGGGAACTAAACTCAGGCCTCGTCCACGCGCAGCGAGCAGTCCGCAGTCCAGCCATAGCCCCAGGCAAGAACAAGTCCTACGAGGAGCATGTCAGTCCCGTGAGGTGTGTCCTCTCACCTTCTGCCGGTTTGCCTTGCTTGTTCTGGTCTCCACGTCTGTGTCTTCATCTGAGGCCACGCTGTCATAGTCTGGCTGGTCGTTGTCTTGGCTCTCAGTGCTGTGCTGGTTACTGACTGTTCTCAATATGAGTTCCACATTGTCTGTTCACAAAGAAGGAAACTTTTCAGACTTAAAATATTTTTTTTTCCTTCTAAAAAACTACAAGATGACTTTCTGGTTCAGCCATTTCAAGGGTGAAGAAAAGAACAAGAAGAGAAACGCTGCACTCACGCTCACAGAGGCTTAACAGCCAGCCACACAGAGCGGCTTCCACACAAAGTGCTTCCCATTCACCTGCCAAGCTCAGACACCCCTTACACTGCCAGACTGAGGGGGGAGGTCCCAGGTTTGTGTATATGGGGCATTGCTTCAACTGTAAAAACTGTAAGTAAATAAGGCAACTGGATTGTGACATGCACACAGAGGAGGGCAAGTTAAACAGGAAGCAGCTGGGCAGGAAGACACTTGCCTTTAATTCCAGCATTGGGAAGAGGCAGGTGATTTCTATAGTTTAGTGGCCAGCCTCTACATAGTGTGCTCCAGGACAGCCAATGTTATATAGAGAAACCATGGCTCAAAACCAAACAAAACCCCAGAAAGCACACAGCCTAGAAATCAGTGCAAAGACTAGGAAGAGCAGAAGTCAGTCGTCTGCGTCCAGGCTAGAGACAGACAAGATGACACTGGACCACATAGACACACATGTGTACATGATCATAGTGTCCATTCCACAGACGGGGAGCAACGACTTACACGCACTGGCATTTAGAATAAGTGTTCAGAAGCATCTAAAGAGTCTTGGTTTACTGGGGACAACTCAGGTCATGCTCCAATTTCCAAGGGTGTCTTACAGCTTCATCTGAGCAGTAAATTCTGATTTCTTTTTCTTCTTCTTTTTTTTTTTTTTTTTTTTTTTTTGGTTTTTTCGAGACAGGGTTTCTCTGTGTAGCCCTGGCTGTCCTGGAACTCACTCTGTAGACCAGGCTGGCCTCGAACTCAGAAATCCGCCTGCCTCTGCCTCCCAAGTGCTGGGACTAAAGGCGTGCACCACCACTGCCTGGCTAAAATTCTGATTTCTTAACACATACTGGTCCTACTTTAACTTTCACAATGAATTTTTAAGATACAGCACCATGCCAATACAGTAAGAAAGACTGAATACAGAGGCTATAACCACTCGTGAGGACGGTGGAGACCACCCAGTCTGTGACATGCTGGCCTGTTTCTCTCTAGTCATTGTTCTAAGCATATATGCACACATAAGGTCTTGTTGTCGTCAGTGAATATAGTCTAGAAGCTGGGCACTGAGGTTCTTAGAGGAGACAGAGGTCTACAGTCCTGAGAGCTGCCAGTCACAGCCTTTTCCTGAGCCAATCAACACACAACCTTGATGTACACGCTTCTGTTTAAGGACACCCTACATAACACACACCGTGGATTCATGACCACAGTTTGAGGCCAACAGGACTTCAAGTCATGCCAGGAAGCCGCTCACTGACCACACACAGCTCCCACAAGCCTCTTCTTACCCTCCCTGCACTCGGGGACATCGTTCAACACGTCCCCTTGTGCTCAGAGCCATTTTAAAGCAGTCACCTCACCAACAAAAAGTGTGAGAACACGGACAAACATGGCACTGAGCAGTCTGTGTGCAGCCACTGACACTGTATGAAACCGACGCATGCAGGAAGTGCCAGCCTCAACCTCAGCCAGAAATGCAGACATGTGCTCTGGACGAGTGTCAGATCTGCTGGCGAGGAGGAGCAACTCCACGTGCATATTCACATGCGTAAGGCACCGTCCCCTGTACAGCTGCTTATATAAATACACGTATGTTACAAACCAGAGACTACACCAAGCCTTTAAAACTGTATTATGCTACTTCACATCACTGAGTATTCTGGGAGATGTCTGTATACTAATCATGTGACTGTTTCTCTTAGAATTTATTATTTAGTTGCTTCTAATGTTTTTGACATTGTACACAAAATGAAACATCTGATTATTTCTCTTTTAGAGTGGGCATATTTTGAGGTTTCAAATTTATACAGAATCTCTCCAGACTGTACCTTCACTAATTTTTAGTGCACCTTTTCAGAACATCTTGACTCTTGGTTGAATTAATAGAACCAAATTCCTTAACAAGCAAGAGGAAACACAAATTACTGTTAGTTAACGACTCCTGCCTCAGGGGAGTGTGGTGTTGACTGCATCCTTCATTCTTATGTATAAACATCTTATTCAAGCACCTCAAAATAAAATGGCATAGCTCCTGTGTCTGTAAGAGAAGAACAAGCGTACAGCAGGCTGGCTATGAGGGAGTGGGCCCTGTGTCTGCAGACAGGACCCTGAGCCACTCTGGAGCAGGTGCTCAGCGGGCGTCCCAGTGCTTCTTGCTACAGACATTTAAGGTTTACAGCAGTAGACGGTAATTACTCAGAGGCTGAGGGTCTGAACTAAGTGACAGCGGGAAATACAGCTGTGACCAAGCATCTTCATCTCCCTATTTATGTCCTTTGTAAAATATAAGTGAGGCTTTTGGGTTAATTTCAAGGTGCCAATTTTATGGGAAAATAAGTGACCAGGAAACAAATATGTATAAGATAAATCTGAATAATAGTAATTTTGAAGCCTTATTCTTCAGGGCTCCAACAGGTACCTTTCTGTCATAATAGATCACTGAGGAAACTCTCAGGATGGCTGTCCTTACGTCTGCCCTAGCACCTCCAGCTCTGGACTGAACAGCATGTCCTGGAAGGCCCCAGGCATACTCTCAGGGCTCGACACTTGCCTTTTGACCTGGAGAGAGGACTGCCCTGCTGTCTCCTCTTGGCATCACTGAGGATGTCGATGACCAGCGTAGCAAATTCGTGGGCATTAAACCGAGCTAATTTCTGTCTGCCCTAGGGTGAGAAGAAAATGGGAGATATTACCCAGTGAGTGTAAGCGTGAAGAGCGGCAGCGAGTGCCCAGGACCGCAGCTTACCCAAGGGGCTCCCAGCTCAGCCCCACAACTCAGCACCATCACTCTCTACACAACACTAACGGTTCCCATGGCAGCCGCTCCAAACCACTGACTTCAGAGAACTTAACAATTACATGTTTACAGCACGCGTGACTGTTATGACTTAACACGGTTCTGTTGGATGTGTAGCTCATCGGTGGGACACTTGACAAGCTAATATAAGGTGTTGGCTTCAATCCTCAGAGCTGCCAGAACAGAAAATGTACTTCTAGTATCAACGGTTTAATCTGAAGTGAGAAGTGAATCTGGAGAGAGCTCTGCTTGAGGGATGAGGCAGCAGACTGGATGTGGGTCTGCTCTCACAGGCAGCTATTGGTCAGAGGCTAAACCCTCCCCTCATTCCCTCCCTCCTGTGAGAGGCTGAGGCTCCCTTCAATGTTTTATTGTTATAGACACACACTGGTGTAAACCACGTGTACAAACCTGGCTTAATTTTATTGGAAATATTCTTAAATGAGGACTCCTTTGTACAAGGAAGGATTTACTTAAATCTGAGGCTTCTGATCAACAACAAATTCTCTCCCTTTGTTCTCTCCACTTCCCTCCCACCATCTCTGTCATGGTCTTGCTATATAGCCCAGGCTAGCTTCCAGCTTAAGGTCCCCCTGTGCCACCTTCCTGAGTACTGGGATGCTACCAGAAGCCAACATTGACCATTTCTTCTCATGTTTGTATGTTGTTTGTACTTCTCTTAACAATTCTCTAATTGTCTGTTTACGGGCATGTAGATACTAAATACCATGACATCAGTCATTCCCCAAACAGCGTTCTTAGCAGCTTTTCACACGGAGCCACTTGCCTGGTTTCGTGTTGAAGAGTACTCAGGGTTGACCGGAAGAAAGGGAACGACAGTCGTCTCGGTTACCAAGGTGCTGTGGTTTTGCGTGGCAAGCCAGACTAGCCGGAAGAAAAGAGCCAAGAGACAGAATCTCACCACAGCTGCGGTGCCATGGCTCTGCTGGGGCACGGCTCATGCACTGCGAGGGAGACTTGGGGAAAGCACACTCGGAAGCCAACACGTGCAAAAGTACATGTCTACACATGGGTTATGAGGACAGTAGCAACCGGGCAAGAAAAAAACAGGCCGTCAGCTGGCCACCGCCCACTGGGAGCAGAAGCTTAGTAGGTAGGCCGCATGTTACGTCACCTGCATCCGTCTCTCGCCTGTCAACCTCATCGTACACATCCATGGCAAGTTCTTCAAACAAGTGGTTACTCAGCTGAAAGTAAAAATATCAGGAACACAAGGGACAACAATTAACACCCGGAGGATGCCTGTGACGTCCTCACCCTTTATCTCCAGTGTCCTACTCAAAGCCATTGCTACAACAACAGTGTTTCTCAGGCCCTGCTCATTGACACACAGGCTACTGCCACGGAGAACCAAGAGCGTCTGTTACAAACCCTCTCAAACAAGTGCCCACCCTGCTTCCTGTGTTAGCCAGCACCCTAGAAGTCTCTGCTGTCCTGCGAACTTCTGTCTGCTCTACAAGAGGAAGGGGTCCTATACCCCTGGCAGAGAAAGAAGAAAACCCTCAAGTGGGGATGGCGACAGAGCTCACTGTCAGGATGTCTGCCATGCTGTGCAAGGCCCTGGATTAGATGGCCACACTGCTGGGGTGGGTAAGGATGCTGGTGTGGGACACACATCTCAGGAAGGCTTCCTGTCAAGCACAGCACAACGTGGCTCCCCAGTATGGTTTGGGGTCCAGCTTACAGCACAGCCACACAGACCAAACTCCCACCCGGCCGCCAGGTCTCCCCACTGAGACGAGCTCCAGTCCCAGCCACGGGTTCTCGTGCTTCTGTCTCATGAGCTCATCCTGCCGCTCAACAGCTGTGGTCTCTCTATTGCTTTGCGCCCTGTGTCCTTACTGACTGCCTCGGGCCACGTGTAAAGAAGCAGGGGATGAAATCCTGTCACCGCAGTTTGGAGAAAGAACAAGGTGACTGAGGACGGTCCCATCTCCTTTCCAGTTCCCTAGTGTCCTCCAACTAACTAATCCTTCAAAATAAACCCCGCAAGAAGGTGCCTGCATATGCTGAGAACCCTCCAGTTTCTACCTCCAAGGGTTTGGACTGAAAGCTGTTTCGTTGTCACTAACGGCAACATGGCCACACTGCTGAGGGCCAGTGGCATCTTAGACATGGTGCTAAAGATAGAATTTAAAGCCAGCAGTGAGGACAGAATAGAATTTACTATTACTTTACAGACAAGGAAACCGAGGAATGGACATTATTAGCCTTAAGACTTTCAGAATATTAACATTTCATAACTGAAGAATACATTGTTTTTTGTTGTTATATTTCTCTCAGTTTTTTACTAGGGAGGAAGGAGAGAATATGAGACAGACTCAGGAAGGGAAGGAATGAAAACAGGAGAGAGAAAGAGAAGGATGGAAGAGGACGGAGCAGGGGATGAGTGCTGCCCTGCAGTGCTCAGAGCAGCCACCTATGAGGAGACCCTGGGACGCCCAATGGGGATCCCTGCCTATGAGAAGGAGGCTCTGGATGCCCAACAGGGCAGACAGTGCCTTCTGCCCAGCACTCCTGTTGAAAGACTGTGCTTTCGAGACTGATGTGAGCTGGGCCAGCCTGACACACAGCCTAAGGTCTTAAGGGCATAGGAAATTATGCCCAAGGTATATATTTAATGCCTGTCCCATGTTAGGTATTACAGATACAACCTCAGGTTTCATGTGGTATCCAGCCCAGCCAGCAGACAGAGTAAAATGGAGTTTGATGTTATTTTATGTATAACAAGTTTGCTTACAGACTACCAATAACTAAAAGGAAAGCGCACACTCTTGCACTGCCTTTACAGCCTGGCATCTGTCTTACTATGTAGCTTCCTTAACGTAAGAAAGGCATAACACACTCAAACACACAACTAAAGATACAGAACACAGAGACACCAAACAAATTGCATAAAACATTTATTGCACAGTATAATTAAATACTAGTAAGGATAAATTCACTTTATGTGATAGTGGTATCACACAAGGCTCTAAAGATGTCTGTGAAAGGGAAGGAGGGAAAGGCACAGAGCAGGAAACCGGCTTTCCCTGCACATGGAAGCACTCACACTCTAAGTCTAAGAGGAGTCAGAACCAGGAAAGGCAGATGCAGCAGGCGTCCTGGAGCAGGGCTCCAAGGCGGTGACTTTTGCCCTCAGAGAGCTGATTCACAGAGCTGCCCCAACTACGCACAGACACCTAGCCAGAGGGGAAGTGAGCTGGTGCCTAAGGGTCTTTAAAGGCTCTTAGTTCTGAGGCAGGGACAGCTGAAACAGGTAAGGAGTGAAATCTCACAAGGTGAGCAGGACCCTGGTGAGGCTCCTGGGAAAGACGTACACAAGGAAAACACTCTCCCAGGGATTAAAGTGATCTTACGACCCACAGGCCTGGGCAAACTCTCAGCACACACAATGGTTCACACAAGCTTTCAGCAGCATCAATGTAAACAGCTCGAGGACAGCATACGAGGGCAGGAGAGTCACAGCACTGCAGTGGATGGAGAGCCAGACTCAGTGCCCTACCAGCAGCTACTGTTAGTCCTCAGTATCCCACGTGAGTAATGCAACAAATGCCAAGGAAGGGCACCCCACACACCCCAGGACCCTGAGACATACCCACAACTTTGGCGGAAAACAATTCTCTACCATCACAGGCAAAGGCTGCATTTTTAACCTAACAGAAAAGATGGTGGGTTGTTTGAAGCAGTCAGCAGACTGGATATACTAAAGTGCTTTGGCCTTCACTGCTACACACAGACCCTATGACAGCACGTGTCTAATCTAGCTACTGTGATGCAACAGGGTGCTCTGACTGACATCAGGGACCAACAGGGCTCCTAGGGAAGAGATACTCACAGATTGAAGTTTCTTCTTGGCAGCTTTTGCCAACTCAGACAAATCCAGGCTGCTAAGAAAATGCACAAACCCATTAAACAAATACATAGAAGCGTACTGTGACCTCACTAGAAAATTAAGACACCCAAGGGACGAGACATTACTGTTTATGGAACAATTCTGTAGCCAAAGAGTCACTGAAGACTTCAACAATTTGGTCAGGACTCCTAGAACCCCAATAGTCAGGTACAGAGCAAACTGCCCACAGCCGGTGACAAAAGCTGCTGTTCAGTCTATCTCTAGGCCTGAGGTGTGGCTCAGTGGGAAAGTGCCTGTCCAACGTGTGAGCCACTGAGCTCCATCCATAGCACAAAGAAAAAGAAAAGGCAAGGCAAAACGGAGAGCAAGCAGAAAAGGCAGACAGACGAGCTCACGGCTAGAACAGCAGTGAGACCTTGTCAACTCTGGTAGTGCTGGCCCAGCAGGGCTTCAGGGTTCGCTGCGGTGGTAACCGTCCCTGTACATGACAGCAGCTACGGGCTGTTTTGCTCAGCTATGAACTAAGGGTGGCTTTTATGTTTTTAAACATTTTGAGTAGAGAAGGAAAAAGAACATTCATTTCTCAAAATTTAAAAATTCACTCAGCCTGTAACGCTAAGAGCCCACTGACACTCTAGGGGACACTCGGAGCAGCCATGACAGGCTGACAGCTCCCAGATTAGTGTAAAGAGTGCCAGCGCCTGTCAAAGGCAAAGCATACCATGTCCTGACACAGAAACACCTGTGGCTATAACCTATAGACACACAACAGCAGGACAAGTGGACAAACAGTGGAGGAGTCCCTGGCTATGCCTCCGCATCAGGGCCTCTGTCCTGTGCTCTTTCCGAGTTCAGCTCCCCACGCTGGTTTACTTACAGCCGTCTTATTTCCAAAGTGTATAGCCATAAAAGAGAAAAATGCATGCGCTCTGTTAAACACACTTAAATGCTACAAACCGAGGCGGTACTGGGCAGATAAACTAAACCAGTCCTTACCTGTCTGCCATCTGAGGGATTATAAAGTGCTGTCCGTTTTTATGATCTGAAACAGAAACCAGTTTTGCTCAGATCAATTTTGAGATCACCATTTTCTTTTCTTTTCTTTTCTTTTCTTTTGGCTTTTTCGAGACAGGGTTTCTCTGTGTGTGGTCCTGGCTGTCCTGGAACTCACTCTGTAGACCAGGCTGGCCTCAAACTCAGAAATCCACCTGCCTCTGCCTCCCAAGTGCTGGGATCAAAGGCGTGCGTCACCACTGCCCGGCAAGATCACCATTTTCTTTTCAGTTTAAGTTTTCCAATTAGCCATTTTCCATAAACATGTACCACGTGGGAGAACAGAAAGCATTCTGAGACAGGCTACAACTTCCCTGAAACCTGCCCAGTCCCAGATCTTATGGGTGGTGTCATGAGTGATGTCATGAGTGATGTCAAAAATGCTGAGATGTGCCAGGCAGTGGTGGCGCACGCCTTTAATCTTTGTGCTTTAGAGGCAGAGGCAGACGGATTTCTATGTTCGAGGCCAGCCTGGTCTACAGAGTGAGTTCCAGGACAGCCAGGGCTACAGAGAAACCTTGTCTCGAAAAACCAAAAAACAAAACGAAACGAAAAACAACAACAAAAAAATGCTGAGACGCATTTTAGCTCAAAGCAGGCTGTCAGCTCACGGCGGGCAGCGGGCAGCAGATGGCAGCACCGCACTAAGCCTGGGAGAGGTTCAATCAAACAATGAGTGGAAAGCAGCCAGGGCTGAGCAGGTGTGCTCTGTGTGTAGCTCTGGAGGGATTCGACCTTGCCATCTGCTGAGTGCTGTGCCCTTACCTAGCCTTTAAAGCACGGATTTACATTCCAATGACAAAATCACTCCGAGCACCTAATGTGGGTTTTTGTGGACACTCAGTGTACACATTCCCTAGGGAATGCCTGGGACAGGAGCACATGGAACGTGTGTGTCTGTTTTGTTAGCAGCTCTGCTGTCCTGTGTTCTGAACAGCAAGCTGAGTGCAGAGACCCATGCCTGCATTCACAGCACAAGAGAGGCTCAGGGAGGGAGACTGAGCTATACAGCAAGACCCTGTCCCCTGAAACAAACACTAAAAGCAGCCCTGCCCCCCGTCCCCAGTGTTCTCTGCACAACAGTGTGAGACTCACACCTCGCCTAACTATACTCCTGGTTCCAGGGCAGCATTGAAGTGTGGGTTTGTGTTTCTGAATGATGTGTGTGTGGGTTTTTTTGTTTTGTTTTTTTGTTTTGAGATGGTCTTGAACTCCAGGGCATAGGAAATGAACCAGAGTCTGGGGAGATGGCTCAATGGGCAAAACCTCTGGCTGCAGAAGTCAGCTGTGGTGGCAAACACCTGCATCCCAGCATTCCTGCGGGGAGATGAAAGGTGGAGGCAAGAGACTGCCTATCATGGGCCAGCTAGGCAAGAGTACAGTGCAGAGACAAGACTCAAGCTAAAGAAAATGGAGAGAACTGACTTCAGAATGTTGTTGCACTCGCATGCGCATGCACACACACACACAGACACACACACAGACACACACACACACTTGGTATTTATTGAATGCCAATAATCCTGACACTTAGGTGGATGATCCAAGCTCAAGGTCATCAACACACACACAGCAAATTCGGAGACCAGCCTAGATTGCACGAAATCCTCTTTCATTTCTTCTTCTTTAAAAAAAAAATGTTTTTATGTATATGCATTGTTTCCCTGCATGCATGTCTGCACAGCACACACGTGCTTTGTGCCCACAGAGGCCTAAGGGCAACAGCTCTTGGAACTGGAGCTGAAGGCAGTCTTGAGCCAACACGTGAGTGCTGGGAACAGAATCAGGGTCCTCTCCAAGAGCAGCAAGTGCTCCCAGTTACCGAGCCATCTCTTCAGACCCCACACACCACCCTGTTTTAGATGGGCTTCTCTGTGGAGCTCTGGCTGCTGGGCCTCCCGGCTCTGCCTCCCAAGTGGTGAGATTAACGGCATATACTTCCTCCAGACTTCCCTTTCCACCCTCGTTAGTTCCTTAGAGCAGGAGCCTGGGGCTTTGAAGCTGGGCTGATGCTGCACGCCTCTAATCCAGACTTGGAGGGCGGAGCACGGAGGGCCGCAGGAGTGTGAAGTCAGCAGAGTACAGCAGAGTGTACAGCAGAGTAAGCAGCTCACAAAAACAGTGAGCGCACGAGAGCAAGTGCTTTTGACAAAGCACAAAATACTAATTTAACAAAACATATCTAAGAACTTTAATCCAAGATCGTGAGCCCCTCCTTAGTTTACAGCTTTAGCTTTTGTAATTATCTTCTTGAAATTATTATCTGGGTATTTTGCCTTTTAGTTCATTAATATCCTGGACTACATTATCTAATTTTCTTTAAAAACATTTTAGGTGTTATGTGTGGTTTGCCTGTATGTATGTGTGCCATGTATGTACCTAGATGCCCAAAGTCAGAAGACAGTGTCACATCCCCTGAAACTAGAATTACAGATGGCTGTGAGCCAACTTGTGGGTGCTGGGAACTGAACCTGGGTCCTCTGTAAGTGCAGCAGGTCTCTGACCCACCGGGCCTTCTCTGCAGTCACATTAACTGACCTCGGTTAGTTCTGTTCCAGTGGTTATGCTGTATTTCTCCGTTTTATATATTGCTGGATTTACTGTGTGCTGAGGATTTTTGTGTCTGTTATGGGGATCCTCCATGCCCACCTTTTCTTTCTCCCCTCTTTTTAGGTTTGGTATCCCAGTAACCCACTCGCATGAAACCACAAGTATTCTCTCTGTTCTTATTCCTTCCTGAAGAGATTTATTTTTATTTTATGTGAGTCTTTTGCTTGCACACATCTCTGTGCCATTATCTGCCTGGTGCCCACAGAGGACAGAAAAGAAGGCAGACTCCTTCGAAACTGGCTGCCATGGACGGGTGCCAAGGCATCTCCCCCGCCCCTCTTATTTCTTTTTTTTTTTTGAGTTATCTATTTTCATTGCATGTGCACTGGTGTTTTGCCTGCGTGTGCCTGTGTGAGGGGGGTCTGATTCCCTGGAACTGGAGTTACCATGTAGTCTGCCATGTGGGTGGGTGCTGGGAACTGAACTCAGGGCCTCTGGAAGAGCAGCTTGTGCTCTTAACTGTTGAGCCATCTTTCCAGCTCCTCTTCCTACTTCTTGAACCTGACATTTTCTTTAATGGGATGTGTTGAGGTACAAATTCAAATTCTTGAAAAATATAGTTTTCCAGGGCTGAGAACTCAGCCCAGTAGTAGAATGTTTACAGCACACACGAAGCCTGATGCCCTGGGCTGGGTTCCTAGCACTGTCAAAGGGGCTGGGGAGGAAATGTGTGTAAGTCTAATGTGTGTAAATGAACATGCATATTGGATTGTATCTGGGGCTGGAGAGACGGCTCAGAGGTTAAAGAACACTGACCGCTCTTCTAGAGGGCCTGAGTTTAATTTCCAGCATCCACATGGTGGCTCACAACCATCTGTAATGTGATCTGATGCCCTCCTCTTCTGGCATGTGGGTGCACATGCAGAAAGAGCATCACACATAAAACTTCCTGCAAACATTGTGTTACATACACCCCATAAACAGCCCGGCCCAGCCCTTTCTGTTTCTGAGACACGGTCTCACTACGTAGCCCTGGTTGGCCTGGATCACACTATGGACACTAGACTGGCTTTGAAATTCACAGGCATCCCGAGTACTGGGACTGACGGTATGCACCACCAGGCCCAGCGGATCAGACACGTTTTGATACTGTACTTTCATGTAGTTGACAATACCTCTGATCCAGGCATGGTAATTTACACGTGTAACTCCAGCACTTGAGAGGCTGAGAAAGGCCTGGTGATTGGAGGTCTGGTGAGCTGGTCAGCCGGGGCGACAGCGTGCTGTCCTTTCAGAACAATGCTCCAGCCCCATGGACATAACACGGATGTTCCCTTGAGATTTTCTTGGAGACCCATTATGACTTAAAAATGTATTGCTCAGTGCTTGAAAATTTTGATTTTGATTTTTATAAATTTCTAGCTTAATTCTATTATGGTCAGAGAATAAACTTTGTAGAACTTTAAATTCTTCGGAGTCTCGAAGGTTTAGCATTCAGAATGTGGCTCACCTTGCTAAAGGTGAACTTATGACGCCATGTGTGGAGTCTACGTTAAGAACTGCGGTTCTGACCTTCCTTTCAGCTCAACAAGGGTTCATGTACTTTGGGCATGTGTACACGTGAACACATGTGTGTCAAGGTGTGCACATGCAAGGCGGAGGACAACTTCCAGGAATCACTTCTCCTTCCACCGGGTGGGTCCTGGGGCTCAAACTCAGGGAGTCAGGTGCCCCTGCCTGCTGCCACCTTGGCGGCTTGCCTTTGGGTCTGGGGACACTTGAGTTATGTGACCCTGTGTGCTGCCACTGTCTATGCAGATGCTTCAACTTCCGTTTTCTGGGTACAAGCCAATGCTCTGTCACTGTCTCATGTCCTTCTCTGACTTTGCTCTGAGGTCTGCTCTGATCCATGCAGGTCACACCTGCTTCATGCAGGATGGCGTGGCCACAGGCACAGCCTGCTGTTCTCACAGCTCGTTAGCCTGGATGTCTGCACAGCCAACCGTTTTCTGTCTTTTGGTGCTGACGGAGTCATGGTTTCTTGTACACAGTGCACAGCTCAGCTCTTGTTCTGTATCGCTTTCCTGACACCACTGCTTTAAATGGTGTCCTTAGATCATTAACAGTTCATGCAAACACAGTTTTGGATTTGTGTTTGGATTTATGTCATTTTATTGCTTTCTGTTTAAGATTCAGGTTTCTTCTTTTTTGTTCTGTTTTTGAATATTTTCAAAAGCGATCTCTCGATTATTTGAGTACTGCATAACTGTGTTTTGTAAATTTATCTCTAGGTTTTCGATAGCACGTTTCTGTCGCTGTCTTCTGGTGGCTAAGGGTCACACGGTGCATACCCTGCATACCTGGAACATCACCTCCCTGCTTCAAGCAAAACGTAGGAATGCTGTCCTGCTTCGCTCACTCCTTCTTTCTCCGTGCTGCCCTGTACACTGACTCTGCTGCAAACACGCACGTCAGAGCCCCTGCTGTCAGCTGCCACGCACAACTGCAGCCCGGGCTGCTCTGCTTCTGCGCACTTCTTGCTGGGGCTGCTCTGCCATCCTTCTGTGACGTCCTGAGGTCCACGGTGACCTGGGGAACCTTCTCTAGTTCTGCTGTTAGAGCTTCCAAGTCTTTTGTTTTTCTTCAATTTCCCAATGTGTTTAATTTGCTTTCATGCTAAAGGTTTTACTGGATATGGAACCTTTGGCCAGCAATTCTTCTCTTTGGCCACCTGAATTATCATGCCTTTTAATTTAAATTCAATTCCACGTAATTTCCTTTCCTCTCAGTGACAACTGAGAAGCACCAGGGCAACGGTGGGACGCTCAGGAAGTTGGTGCTTCAGACTTCTGCATCAGAAGTACAGCAAATATTCCAAAATATTTTTTTTAGTAAAAATATGACACTTGAAAAACATTTCTAGTCCTGGCATTTCAGATAAAGGATATTCAAAAGTTTGATGTGTGAAACACCATCCTAGGTGTTTGTAAACAATGTTAGTTCTCAGTAGTTTGACTCTGATGTGTCTCAAGTATTGCTTTCTTTGGTATTCATCTTCTTCGGGGTGGTAACATTTCCCGTGTGAGCATGCAGAGGCCAGACACTGACACGGTATGCCTTCCTGACTGAGTCACTTTTCTACCCTGTAACTCTTCTTTTATAAAATAGTTATTTTATTATGCGTACATGTATGTTTTGCCTGCACATAGATACAAGCACTAATTGTGGTCGGGGCCTGCGAGGCCAGGAGAGGGCTCTGAATCTCCTAGAACTTGAGTTACAGACGGTTGCGAGCCACCATGTGGGTGTTGAAAACCAACCCTGATCTTCTACAAGAGCGTCCAGTGCTCTTACCTGCTGAGCCGGCTCTCCAGCCCTCTACCCTGGCTGGCCTGGAATTCAGAGATCCCCCTGCCTCTACCTCCAAGTGCTGAGATTTAAAGGTATGAACCCCACTTTCCACTGCTTTAAAAAAAATAATTTTGAGATTATAATTACACCATTTTCCACTTCTTTCTCTCCCACAAGCCCTCAGACATCCCTCCTTGCTCTTTCAAATTCATAGCCTCTTTTTATCATTAATTGCTGTTGTATGCGGGTATGTATGTACCACACCACTGGTATTTGAGACAGGGTTTCTTACTAAAACCTTAAAGTTATTGACTGATTAGACTCACTGGCCAGGAAGCCCCAGATCCTAGATTCTCTGCTTCCCCAGTGGTAGGACTTACAGGCATGTGTCCCACATCTGGTTCCTTACATAGGTGCTGAACCAAGCACAGGTCTTAGGCTTGCAGAGCAAGTCCTTTCTCGGTGGAGTGTCCCCGCCCCATCTTTCTAATGCTTCCCCACAGGTCCCAAGGCTGCCACTGCTGGCTTTCTCTTATGCTGGGGAGTGGACCTTCCCACATGCCAGGTAACCACTCTACCATGAGCTATATCACCACCGAGGTGTCTATTTGCAATTTATGTTTTAAATATTTCTAGCCCTCTATTAAACCTACTAATCTGGAGTTAATATTTTAGGTACTGTAATTTATTTTATTTTACTTTTTGGTTTTTTGACAAGTTTTCTCTATGTAGCTCTGGCTGTCCTCTGCCTCTGCAACCAAAGGTGTGCACCGCCACTGCCTCGCTGTAGTGCCCATCTCCGACATCCCCACTAGGTTATTCTATGTGCCTTTTTCTTTTTTTTAAAAAAAGGATGTTTGCCAGGTGGTGGTGGCGCACGCCTTTGATCCCAGCACTTGGGAGGCAGAGGCAGGCAGATTTCTGAGTTTCAGGCCAGCCTGGTCTACAGAGTGAGTTCCAGGACAGCCAGGGCTACACGGAGAAACCTTGCCTCAAGAAATCAAAAAAAAAAAAAGAAAAAGGATGTTCATTGTTCTTCAGATCATGGTCTTGTTGGCTGGTTAAAATGTTTCTGACAATTCCAACAGGACAACTCATGGGGGCTGGCTCTCTATCATGTGCGTCACAGGGTCACTCAGGTCACCGGGTGGCCCCTTCTCTTTACCTGCTGGCCACCAGCTGGCCCCAGGCCTAGCGTCTGCTTTCTCCAGGCAGCCCGGGAGGTTTTCCTGGCTCTTTCCCCACTGCGTTACTGTGGACGGACGGAAACTGGGATACTCTAAACGCTGCATTGTGAGACTCGTAGCTTCTTCCTGATCTACATACAGTGTTATTTCTGTTTTTAGCAGCCACACAGCCGGCTGGGCTCTGCCTGCTGAGCAGGCAGCAGGAGAACCACAGCCCATATACTTTCATGCTAGTGGCCAGACACTTAGACACTATATTCTATATACAGCCATTACTGTTGCCACCCACCCATAGTCCTGTTAGGAAAAACCGGGAAGATAAAACAAAACCATCAAGAGGAACCTTCTTCCTGTCTGTCTGCTTTCAGTCTCATCTCTCAAGTCGGAACGAGAAGGTTCTTTGTGGCTGTTCTGCAATCCAGAACATAGGCCACCAGGCTGATGGGACTTCAGGTCTTATTATTCATAGCTAGGAGTAACTTTTCAAAGCTGACCATTCTGTCGACAGTTTTTGGTTCCATTCAGAAGGAGAGATGGGCTAGCGTATGCTTGCCCTCCCTTGCCCCCAGATGGCTCCTAATCCTCTTGCACAAGCAGAGTAAGGAGCCTCTGCACACATCCTGTGGGCACTGTGCATCAGGAGCCGGCAAACCCAGAGTCCATGAGATGGCTCCGAATTTAAAGTACTCACTGCCACTTCTGACAACCTAAGTGTGACCCCCAGACCACATGGTAGGAGAGGACTCCTGCATGTTGAATCCTGCCCTGTGTGTGAGCACACACACAAGCACGTGAGCACACACACAAGCACATGTGCACACACACACACCCCACAATTTTTTTTTAACGGGTTGGCAACATCTCCGTGTGGGGCTGAAGAGACAACGCTTCAGGCCCCGCGTCATCTGCTGCAGCTGTGAAGTTTGCTCAGCTCTGCGAGTGCTCTGTGACAGCAATAGCAGGCACGGTCACCTTTCAGCAACATGTTACTTAATAAAACTGGTCACAGGCTGGACTGGGTTCAGACTGTAGTGTACAGACTCCTGTTCCAGATCACAAACAGGGCCAGGTAAAGGCCAAGCTCACTGTGACAAACTGTTCTGCGACAAGTGAACAATTTATAAAGCCAGAGGTTCCGAAATATTGTACAGACTCCCTTTGTAAGTGGTGCCACACTCGAGTGGCGCTCTTTCCTTTATTAGTGTGGAATACTTCAGATCTGCAGACTTGTGAGAGGGATAAAGACTAACTCCATTTAGTGAGGCGAAGAGAGAATGACTAACCGGCCGGAAGACTCTAGAGCCAAAGAGGCCGGCGGCCCTGTCCTCAGCACTCTCTAGTAATGAAGGCTCGGCTCTGGCTCTGCTCTGCCTCTGCATGCTGTGTGGTACGTAGGAGGGTTTGGAGGCAGAAAGGGCAGGGGAAATGATATAATTATAGTATCTCAAAAAAATTATGTAGAAAAAGTTTAAAACCAGCTGAAGGGTACACACAAGTTCCAGGCCAAGCTGGGATACATTAGGAGAGGCTATCTAAAATGCCAAACAAAAACAAACATAAAAATCCTGCAGTTATCCTTCCAAATCCAAACCCAACTGACAATCTTCTACCTCTTTGCTTTGAAGTAAGGATGTTGTCCTGACTTGCTCCTCCCCTCTCTCTCCTCTCTCACTCTCTCTCTCTCTCTCTCTCTCTCTCTCTCTCTCTCTCTCTCTCTCTCTCTCTCACTCACCTGGTTTCCGGCCGCAGAGGTAGAAGGCCAGTCTGTCTGTCAGCTCGTACTGTATCTCTACGAGGCGCTCTGCCAGCTCATGGTGCCCTCCTTGCCTACCAAGAGAACAAAGTTCCATTGACACAGCTCAGCGTCCGGCCGAGTCAGAGAGCACAAAGCTGCTCTGAGACACCTGAGCAGCAGCTCCTCAAACATGGCTGACTGTCACCATGTCCCACTCTCAGTCCCTCTAAAAGCTGGGGCTCCTACCCGAGGTACCTGCTTCCCTTATGAATGTGTAAGAGAGTGCATTTTATGCACATAAAGACTTATGACATGGATAAAACTGACTCTATGTAACGAGGTAATGGGAGAGGTTCTCAATAGCTAACTCGAGTGTTCCCTGAGTCAGTCAGGACAGGATGGCCCCAGGCGCCCCACGTTCCTCATGCACGCAGTCAGCTGGCCTCGGGTCAGTCTAGAGATCAGAGATCCCTTCCAGGGACTCCAGGCAGGCTGACCTGCTGCAGAGCTCATCCCTGTGGCTACTTCGGCCTCTACACCAACAGGAAACAGCGCCTGCCCTTCTTAGCTCAGAGCCGAGCTGCTGGATCCTTTTAGAATAGAAGTAAACTGCTAAGCTGAGACACTACTCCATCAAAGTGTCCATGAGAAGCTGAGGTAAATGATAAAGTGTCTGCTGTGGATTCTGGTTATCTTCAAAGATCAATCTAGCTTTAGCCAGTTTCCCTCTCCACATAATACTTCCTGTCCTACTACACACACGAGTCCACGGACAGCTTCTCAGTTTGCGTTGAAGCGCACACCCAGAGCTCTCTCTCAGCAGCATGGTGGGACCTCAGTGCTGACGAAGCACTGTGCTCCTCTCAGGCCCCACACCTCACTGTCTCCAGTCCCATCTCCGCAGAGAGGAACACCCTGCCTGTTCCTGCCTTCCGCCGACTCTGCCTTTCCTCTGGAAGATACTTTAGCTCCTCCTTCACAGGTTCAGAACCATCACTGGGGCCACCACAAAGAAAGCTTGCATATGTTCGTTCATTTTCTGCACATGTGGGCCCACATGTGTGTGGATGCACAGGTATATGGAGGCTCAAGGCTTCCAGCAGCCATCTTCCTTGACTGCTTCCTATCACTGAGGCAGGGTCTTGACTGAAGCAGAACTTGATGGTGCTGCTAGTCTTGCTGGTCAGCTAGCTACAGGGATCCTGTCTCTGCCTCCTCCATCTGGAATAGAGTAGTCCCCACTCTCCCATGGCATGTATGTGTTCTGAGGATCTGAACTCTGACCTCCATGCTTGCACAGCAAGTATTTGATTAGTGGGCTGTCCCCACAGCTCCCTAGCATGTGATCTTTAGAATTTATTATGTGTGTGACTGAGTGTGTATCACGGCACGGATGTAGCTCAGGGGACGACTTCTGGGAGTGGGTTCTTGCTTTCCATCTTACTGATGGAAGCAGTGCTTCCTGTCATGCTGCGCAGGCCAGGATAGCGGCTCACACTCTGTGGCTCAACCCCTCTCTGCCTCTCATCTGGCTGGGTTACAGAGGTTGAGACCACGCCTGGCTCTTCCAGTGGACTCTGGGGACCACACTCAGGTTGTTAAGGGCTTTCCTGACTGAAGCATAAGTGTGCTCTTGTAAGAGACACTGTCAGTCGTACACGTATGATCAGAATATGCGGAGGGCGGGCAGCACAGGCAGGAAGAGCATTGTGAATCCAAAGCCAGCCTGCGTTAGAGTCGTACCCCCTCTTAAAAAAAAAAAAAAAAAAAAAAAACACAACAAACATGGCTGACCATTTCGACAACAACTCATATATAATCTTGCCTCAATTTTTTTCAAGTATTTCTGAATCATCTCTTCCAGAGAAGTAAATGCTAGGACTCTAGGACAGACTTCTGTTATTTTCTGTCGCATTCTTTATGAAGTAGAACATGATCCTTCATAGTTGATAAAATAACAGGAAAAAGAAGGAAAGCTATCCACCTTCCATCACTTAAATCTGCAGGTTTTAACACTGAGTAGGCCCGTGACGTCCCCTCATGCTCCAGCATACAGAGGGGGCAGGACACGGTGGGGGGCCGCAGCCCCAGATACTTAGGAGACACATTAGCAGGTTTGTCTAAGATCTGCCTGTCATACACTTGTGCTCAGATGACAGGCCAGGGCTCCGGCACGGTGCTGTTTCCAGCCTAGTTTTGTTCCTCATGCTTATAGGAACACATATCACCTGCTTCCCTAGCCTTCTCTAAGTCTTTAACCTCTAAAATGAACGTGTATGGATTTTTATGTATATAATGTTCTGCCTGCACGTGAGTACACCATGTGTGTGCCTGGTACCCCTGGAGGCCAGACAGAGTGTTGGAGCTCATGAAGTTGGAGGTACAGATGAGGCACCACGGTGCTGGACACTGAACCCTGGACCCCAGGGTGCAAGAGCAGATGGCAATCTGAACCACTGAGGCCACTCTCCAGCCATCTCCACTGCCAGTCCTTGATTGTTCACTACGACCTGAAAACCACTGTGTTATGAAGAGTGGATGTTAACCACACCAGCTAGGACTTTGCAATCCTCTCATCTTGCCTGCCTTCATCAACAGAATAATAGAATATAAATCTTTAAAGGGGCTGAACACAAGCCATACCCACTGTGGATGCTTAGCAAGGAAGCATGCAGAGTAGAGAGAACCTCAGCCGCTATACCTTGCATAGTCAACAGGAGTCTTCCCACTGGAGTCTTGTGTGCCTGGGTCAGCACCGTACACGGCCAGTAACTCAGCCTGTAAGATCTGTCCGGCTTTGGAGGCGACGTGGAGTGGCGTGCTTCCTTTTTCCTAATTATGATTAATAGACAGACAAACAGAGCAAACTAAGCAGACCTGGACTATGCAACATAACTCAGCCTCAGGGTAATATCTGAATAATTGGCATTTCATACAGGATGGAAGAAGTTGGCTTGGGCTCCTAACGACAGCAGCCTCAGACAGGTCTCAAGATTCCCCGTTCTCACACTTGAATGGAGTTGCTGAAAAACAAACAGAAACAGAGCACTTGTCAAAGTGTCAGGAGGGAGAGGCCAGAGCTGCTGGCCACCTATGTTAACACTTTACAACAGTAACAGGTCTTTACTGGGCTCAGGAAGATGCGGGGCGGGGAGCGTGTTGTTCTTTGCTGTTCACGACGGCAGCATGAGAGTCTGGCAATTTTACCAACAAGGAGCTTGAACTGCAAAGGCCAGTCTGCCTAAATGCAGGACTTGCCAGTAAGAGGTACAAACATAAATCAAGCAAGAAGCACTTGAAAAGGAGGCGGTTTGGGGGAATGGATTTCAAGGTCTACTGCCTTCTAGCTGTGTGTTCTGAGAAAAACTCTAAGCAGTGGAACCTGGGTGCTCCAGTGCCCCTGCCAGCAGGGTTATGGTGTGGACTGAATGACATGGGGAATGATTCAAAACTCAGACACCGCTACACTCTTCCTCTCTGGCTGCTGCCACAGCGCTGATCCAGGGTCCAGCCGCCCGCTGACAGGCTATCCATCGCGCTTTCGCCAGGTTGTTCTTGGTGGGAAACGGGCCTGTGCACACTAAATTCCATATCATCACAGAAATGCTTTTAAACTCCCAGAGAACAAACCGCTCTCCTTCTGGGCTACTCGAGAACTGTCCTGACTGGCTCACGGGGCGGAGAAGCTCACTGGAACCAGTCTTTTTTTAAATTTTATTTTATTTTTAATTATATGTACATGTATACATCAAGTACACACTAGGTGCAGGTGCCAACAGAGGCCAGAGGGGGCGCAGGTCCCCGGGGGCTGGAGTTGTACGTGGTTGTAAGTCATCTGAGAGGACAGCTGCAGTGACAGCAGGTGTTCTTCACCACTGATCCATCTCTCCTGCCTAAGTCGATGCTGTCTTCTTCTTTTTACTATTCTTATTATTTTTACACACACACACTTTTATACTCACTGTAGCTGATCTGGAATTCACTATACAGACCAAGCTGGCTGAGAATTTACAGCTTTCCGCCTGTCTCCACCTTCTGAATGCTGGGAACTAAAAAGATGTGTGCCATCACACCTAGCTATGTTTTCTATTTGGTAGTTAAAACTATTTAATTAGCAGGAAAATTACTTACACACACACATACGTCTATGCAGAATTAGTATTCTGAACTGTGCACACTCTCTATTGAGTGAGCATCTAGTTCAAAGCCCTGCTCCCAAAACCGTGCTTGGTGTGTACTTCTATGGCATCTCTTACAAACATCCAAGGCCCACAGAGAACGCACTGGCTCAGTGTACAGACACTGCCGGGTACAGCCCTAGACTCGCTTTGTCTTCTTAGGATCCCTCTAGCCTTGAACCTGGAAAGCGGAAGCAGCTGGCTCCCCCGCCCCCCCCCGCCCCCCCACTGTTCTGGTCTCTTTTAGATCCTAGGACCTCTAGAAATACTCCTTTGAAATGGCTAGTATTTCCAAGTAAAGAACTTACCATGTGAAAACTGGACTGAAAAAGTACAAATTAATTATTCAATTAAATGAAAATAAAAGAGGAAAAACACTACAGTTTCTTAGACACACACTTTGCCTTTGTCTAGTGTGCCTGAGAGGAGGATGGAATGCCATTTAAAAGAGAAAAGCCAGCCATTTAAAGGCACAAATGGATGTTTCCTCCTAATACTGCTTTAAGGGAAGCAGCCTGTCTCATCAGGCCCCACAGACGGCAGAGCAGCCCACCTTACTGAGATCTTTGGCAGTCACGCTGTCGTCCTCACGGCAGGGCAATCGGTGGACAAATGCTAACATCTGATACTTGGCTCTGATGAATTCTGCTTTATTGGGGCTGGTTTGAAAACAAAAAAAAGAAGACAGTTCACTTAGAGCTCTGACACATTTCTTTCTTTGTACTGTAAGAGGAGGAAGTGACCCCCCCCCACTCGAGAGAAAGATGAGCAAAGCTGGAATCTGTGACAACACATACAGAATGCCTTCACTTACAGTACCTTGCTTCCCTTTACCTTTCTCAAGTGGGCACCTCGAGGAAGCAGCATTTAACCCTGTGCTACAGGGCAGACACTGTCAGAATGCAACCAGAAGCCAGACTTCTTGGCTTCATCTATCTGATCACACCGAGTCCCCAAGCCCTGGTCTCCACTGGAGAAATCATTAGCTCCAACTGGGTAAGCAACCAAAGTCATGGTCCCCCTGCCTCCCTCTGCTCTCCCAACAGCAAATGCCCCAGGCACAGCCCACAACCCCTTTGGAGGCTGATCAAAATAGCCACATTCCTTTGTACACGGCCATTCGTTGTGAAGAGGCAGAAGTTCCAGACAGTCCACTCACTGGACTTTGTCCTGTGGACTGGCTTTCCGTCTCCCACTCGTGACAGAAGCAGGGTCCAGCAGAGAGTGTTCCCATATAGAGTTAGCGCCGTTGTTGTACAAGGTCTCAACCATCTGGAAACAACAGGTACGAAACGACATTTCATTTCCACAGATACTCAAAACCAATCAGTAACAAAAGTGAAAAAACCGTGCTACATTAAAAGCACCCATGTCTGACACCGCCCTGCCACCGCTTCTGATGGCACAGCGGGACTGGGGACCAGGCCATCACTGCTCTTGACTGACAGGGAGATTGAGGAGCTCCACATGGGAACCAGCTTGGCTCCTTGGCACATACTTGCAAACCGAAGGGAAAGTAACGGGAGCTTTAGGGTGGCATTCCCCTGCCTCAACACACGCTGTTCACCACTGTATACACCATCCACTTAGTACTGCTCATTACATTCACCTACTTAAGAGATTGTGTTAATAATTATGTTAGTTTCCGTATACACGATTAAATAAAGTAACGCAATACACACATATCTGAGTGCCAAGCTCTTACACACCCCACTGTGGTTCATGACCACCCCTCCCCATTTAGAGTCTGATGTTTTAAGGTCAACCCTAGCATTTTCAGTTATTCATCTCTGGACCATTTGTAAATTCTAAAATTGTAAACAAAGACAGACACGGGCGGAGCACACTAACCCTTTAGGAGAGAATGGGCCTCTGGACACTTGTAACTGAACTCCTGTATTTCTGGTTGTGAGCCTAGCTTTAAAGGCTGAGCCATCTCTGCACCCCCTAAGTAGAACCTTTAATAAACATCTCTCAACTTCCTTTCCAAACAGGACTCCTGGAGACGCGGGGTGGGTGGCTAGTGTAGCTCTAGGGGCTTCTCACCAGTAACCGGAACCACTTGCTTTGGTGCCTTGGTTTGAAGGAGTTCAAGTGACTGCTGTGCAGCTGTTACAGATTTAGTGAGATGTGTGTAAGACAAGTATCACAAACACAGGCTTAATCCTGAGTTCCAGGAGAACTGAAGAGTGTATATCTCAAACAGAAGTACAGGGAACATGACACTGGATCCCAGGTAAGGCAAAGACCCCCGACAAGTGTTTTTAAGAAAACTTCAGATGTTGAAGAGATTTCTGAGGGACCCCACTCTATGCTCCTATCAAAGCAGGAAGAGAATGTTCTAAAAATATGGGCAGGTACTTAGGAATTTGCCTGTTAATGAAAATTTTCTGAATCTTTTTTTCAGTAATTGATAAGAAAGAAATAATTTTAAAAAATAATTTCTGAGAGCTGCAGAGATGGCTCAGTGTTGTAAACCAAGCACCTGTTACTCCGGTAGAGGACCCGAGTTTGAGTCCCAGCACACGCGTGGTGGGTCACAACTATGTGTAATTCCAGTTCCAGGAAATCTAATGCCCTCTTCTGGCCTCTGAGGGCACATATACAAACACTTATAAAAGAAATAATTTTTTTTTAGATTTATTTATTTAATTTAATTTAAGACACTGTAGCTGTCTTCAGACACACCAGAAGAGGGCATCAGATCTCATTACGGATGGTTGTGAGCCACCATGTGGTTGTTGGGAATTGAACTCAGGACCTCTGGAAGAGCAGTCAGTGCTCTTAACCGCTGAGCCATCTCTCCAGCCCAAGAAATAAATTTTTAAAAAAATTAAAAAATAAAAATGATTTCTGAAGTTGGGCATGGTAGCATATACCTTTAATCCTAGTACTTAAGAATCAGAGGCAGGTGGATCTCTGTGAGCTCAAGGCCAGCTAGAGTTACATAGTGAGACTCTGTCTCAAACAGAACAAAATAAAACACAATAATTTCCGGTGATGATCTAGAAAGCCAACAGTGAAAACACACTAGGAAATTTAAGCTTTTATTGGCACCGTCTATTGATGTATCTGTCCGAGCATAACTGAGATGGGGGACAAGATTATGTGAGGTGAGCAGAGAGCGAACGGGTAGTGATTTCAACACAGAACACTGTATACTATACACAGCAATGATGGAACAATATTTAATTATAATCAAAGTCAACTTTTGTAAGATTTAAGACCTATATTAGACAGTATTTTAGTTGCTAAGCAACGATCCCTACAGCATAGTTTCCCAATCATGAGGCCTCCTCCTGTCACTCACCTGGAGCAGGGTGGGAGGCCATGGCGTGTGTCTGAGGTGCCTCACTTGGGAGATGTGGCGCCCTAGGCTCCGATGAACACTGCAGCACTCGTCACATAGGAACGTCCCCCTGTTCACAGACGCCCAGGAAGGATCTGGAAAAAGAACGACACCTCAGTGGCAGGGGCACCAGTTGGTTACTATGTAGAGGGATGGTGAAAGATGATGTTTGTTTTTTAAGAAAAACAGAACCTGATTTTGTTGTTTCATATGCTCCTCAGTAGGAAGCTGACGATCTCCCCACCCTGACGGATCACTCTGCTAACTAGACTGGCAGCCTCACACAGGAGTCACCTTCCTGTGCAGGCCACAGTCTGCAGCCTGGATGTGGGTGCACACCACAGACACGTGCTCTCAGGGAACAGAGCAGCAGATTGAGGGAACAGGCAGGGACCACTCCACTGTCTGCTTGCAGTGCTGGAGACTGAGCCTGAGCCTTGTCGGTGCTAGGCAAGCACTCTACCGCTGACACCAGCTGGATGACCGTGTTGAGTCCCTTTTTGTGACTAACAGAGCTATGTGACCTGACAGTGGACTGATTGTCTGCGTGACAGTATTTAAGGTCAATGGTGAACTTACTGCTGCCCAGAGCAGGAAGTTCAGACCCATGTGCTAACAGAAGTCACACGAGAACTGCAAAAGTGCCCGCCCCCTGTCTGGGGGCAAGCAAGAGTGGCCCACTCTGCTCAGACAGTGCTCTACGACAGCACCCTTGTTTAGACTACCTGTTGGATCCAGTCCTGCGGCTGATCTGAAGTAATGTTCTTCAAACGAACAGACGTAAAACAAAAATGAATGGCACTTTTGGTTGAGCATAATACCCTTTTCCTTCAAAATCCCACAAAACTTCAGACAACCTGTCATACAAGGAATAATTCACACTAGGTGGGCAGGATGGATCTGGGTGAGTAAACTGAGCCGTAGAAACCACAAACAGACATGCCTTTCCCCACTCTATCACACTCACAATGAGGTGACATCAGGTGCTACTCCAGCTGCCTGGCCTAAGGGTTACATTCTAAAATTCTTCAATGTCCACAAAATCTCTGAAATGCACACAAATCGTCTTTACATTTTTGTATTTATTCAACCCTTTCAAACCATATAACGAAAAGCTATGGGATGTCAATCAAGGATAAACCCTGGGAGCCAGAGTGTACAGTGGTTAAGAGGGTGGGAATCCCAACCCTGCCGCCACCTCTCGTGCAATAATCTGAGGCAAGCTGCTTCCTTGAGTATCCTCACTGTGGACCAAATTGGAACAGTGACACATCTCACAGGAGGTACAATGTAAAGAATAAAATAAAGTGTCTGTCATTCCCACACAGGACCAGTGCTTTTAAAATGAACTAGATTCATTAAAAACAAACGAGAAATCAGGGCTGAGGGTGTGGCTCTCCTAGCAATTGTGAGGGCCTGGCTTTGATCCCCAGCACACAAAGGCAAACAGACGTAATCACAGTGAAGCTTCTCCTCCAAAACGAAACAGAAAAGGTTTCAGCCAGCTTTGCCGTAGGTGCATCCAGCCATTCTAAGGAGCGAGGGTGGGAAACGCAAGGTATTAATACAAAGTCTGGAAGCAGGGCATTGCTTTTCATTATCAGAGGTCCACAGGGAAAGAACAGCAATGTTTTAACACACGTCACACAATGGTCTCCGTTAATCACTTAAACACCATGGATCAGAATCCCAAGGAGAGAATACGGATGACACATAAAATAAGATTTACGCTTTTAGCTGGGCGGTGGTGGCACACGCCTTCAGTCCCAGCACTTGGGAGGCAGAGGCAGGCGGGTTTCTGAGTTCAAGGCCAGCCTGGTCTACAGAGTGAGTTCCAGGACAGCCCGGACTATAAAGAGAAACGGTGTCTTGAAAAACCAAAAAAAAAAAAAAAAAAAAAAGATTTACGCTTTTATGAGTGAGGTTGGGTGAAGCCCTTCTAGTTTATCTGGAAGGCAGGATTCTTTAACTAGGCTCCATGGACATCACAAATGCATTTCAAAAGTATCTGTGCCCCCACCTGTCTTATGCAAACATTGTCCAGGAGAGTTAAGGAGTAGAGCATCTTCTGAGAAGGCCTTAGCATGAGGTTTTCAGAGGAGCCCTACTTCTACAGGTAACCAACCCTTCACCTGAGCTGTGCACAAAAGGCAGCACACATCCCTAGCTGTTCCTCACGCTTCAAGGTAGCTTCATTCTATTCAAAACAGGAAGGAAGTGACTCAAGCCTTTCTAGATTTGGGCATTCACGACTTCTAAATGAAACAACAGAAAAACGTCCCAAAACACCACAAACGGACAAGACGGTATTCGGGCTGGCAAGGGGAGGCAATCTGCCTCTGCCATGTACCGTCCCAAGAGGAAGTTTTCAGTTAGACATGAATCAACGGAACACAGGCAAGAAAAGAAGGAAGCGGAACAAACAGCGTCGTTAGAGAAATAATAGTTTGTATAAACCTGGCTTTCAGATAAATCACCTCTTTTAAAACTGCCCCCCTCCCGCCGCCAACTGTCTCTCCACCTGTTAACCTGTAGGACCCAGGGTCATGAAATAACCAGTACAGATTACCACAGTGCCACTTAAAACCAGTCTCTGCTTCCAAATGAAAAACCAGTTGCAAGCCGCTGATGTTCAGTGGCTTAATTAAGGCTGTTAATTGAACACTGCCACACCAGGAAAGTCATCTGATATTTGACTCCAAACCTGAAATGTCCAAGGCCCAAAACAAGCGCGCGCGCGTGCGCGCACACACGCACGCACACACACACACACACACACACACACACACACACGCACACACACAAATCTGAACCGTGACCTGTCAGCTAGGTTCCAACTACAAAGCCAGAGCCAATCTTCCAATCTGCAGTGAGAAACGGTTTTGGCGGTTCGAAGTCGCCGAGTTTACACTTCGAGCGACAGTGTGTTAGCCTGGTACGACTCTGAAAGCCAAACTGTAGCTGAAAGAACGACAAGGGTTTTCAACTGAGTTAACATCCTACAAAAGAGACGATCCCCGAGGGATATCCACTGACCACTGCGCACTGCGCTGGCGATAGTTTCCATCGGACAAAAACAAAACCGAGGAAATCAAGGTTTGAACATGAGAAGTCATCAATTCAAAGGTCATGTAGAGGCAAAAATCTAGTGGGAACTCGGATCCTCAAACTTGAGCTCCCGACCTGGGGTTGTCTGAACCCCAGGAGCTGCCGCCCGGAGCAGGGCAGTCCTCCACCCGTGGCCCGTGGGGCGGCGCAGCGGGCGATCGCGCACTCGCGCGGGGCGGGAGACCGGGAAGGGAAACACCTGCAGCCTCGGGCCGCCCGCGTCTGACTCCTGTCACTGGCCTTCCGGGGCTGCCGAACCCGTCCCGTCCCGTCCGGTCCCCGGCCCTCCGCCTCTGCGCTCGGCCGGGCCGCGGGAGGGAGGGAGCCCCGGGCCGCGCGGGTGACAGGCTCGGGACAGTCTCGCGCCCCGGCGGCCCGGGGGTCGGAGCGACTGGGCCGCAGTCAAGCTCCCGCCCGCGGGGACCGCCCCACCGAGGGGTCCCGACCGGGAGAGCGCGGCGAGCGGGCCCCGCGTCACTCACCAGGCCCGCTGCAGTCGGCGCACACGTCGCTGCTCCGGAGCCGCTTCGACATGGTTCCCGCTTCACCTGCCGGGAACCCCGCGACGGCAGAGGCGGCGGCTGCGCTTCCGCTCTAACGGGTCCCCGGGCGGCGCTGGCGGCGGCTCTCCCCTCACAGCGCCTCGCAGCCCCGGCGCACTGCGCACGCGCGGGGAGACCTCCTGCGGAGCCCTTGTGGGTCATGTGACCGGAAAGGGCACGGTTCCGTATCGCCATCTTGAATGAGGGCAGAGGTCTGTCCAAGCCTCCGGTTCCTGTCTCTATATACTCTCGCAATTGGGATCTCCCTTTTGGGAAGTGATTTCTTGTTCTAGGACTGACTAGAACCAGAAGAAGCAGCAAAACCTTGTGACAAAAACTCTCTATATATAATCTCCCGGAGATTATTTAACAACAGTTAAATTCATTTAGTCATGTCCAGAAGAGGCCTCAGAAGTACGGATCTTGTTTATCTAATGCGATCGACAGTTGCCACGCATTCCTCCGTTAGAGCTTTTAGGTACCAGCCTTATCTTCCTGTATCCTGTATTAGCGTCATTCACTCTTCAAGGACTCCACACCCAAGGAGAATGGACTAGGTCGGTCAGGATTCTTGGACAGCCTTCGCACTCATCTGAAAAGCTGGTTGTGTATCTAAAAAGCCAATAAAGGGTGCTTGCTGGTTGCCGTTGTAAACATCTGGGCGGACACAGCACTTGGCTCTTCATTGTGTCAAAGATATAGCGCCTGAAGTCGTAACCCAAAGGATGAATTTTACTTGTGCCTATTGCGGGCCAACCTGGATAATAATACTAATAAGTCCTTTGGACCACGACCCTAAATCTGAATGGTTAACTTAAAGAGACTGATGCGGGATAAATCTTCACGGCAAGCACTTTGAATAATAGCCGAGTTGGGTATTCAGACAAAACAGTGTTTTTTAACTGGGCGGTTTTTCTCCTCCAGGGGAACAACTGTCTCTGTCTGGAGACAGTTTGGGGGGATAGTGAATACTGATGGCATTGAACGCCATCCTAACTTACAAAGCATCGGATGACTTCCGCGCACAGAACCACCCAGTTCAAACATTAGAAAGTTTAAAAGCCCACAGACACAACTATCCCGCTATCATGAGGGTATCTGGTGCCACCTGTCCAGGTTCCAGTTCGCCGGTGAAAACGATTTCCTGTTGCCCACTTCCAAAATGGTTTCTGACCAATCGTGGAAGGCAGCGGAGGGAGGCTCCAGCCGGATGGTTTGGTCCAAGCCTGCGCGTTCACCCCCCGGGCTGCAGAACCGATGGAAGAGGCCCAATTGTGGAGCGCACCACTGGAGGAGGCTGGGCAGGGGGCGATAGTCGGGGGGCACGCATCGTGGGTTTTGCGCGTGGAGATCTCGAGCTTCCCGAGGGCCTTACTGTTCCACAGAACGTTGGTTGTCGTGTATCTCCGCGTGGAGGCGCGACGGGGCGACATGGAGCTGGGCTCGGGCCGATCGAGGGGCCACGTCCCCCGCCGCGGCGCGCGATGGAACGCCCCGCGCACTTCCCTGTTCGGAGCGGTTCGGCCGGCAGCAGTCGGTTCCCGAGCTGTCAGCGCGGGCGCGAGCGCGCGGGGCGCGGGGTGGGCGCGGCCGAGCGGGTCCCCGAGCCGGTCCCCAGCCCGGCCCGCGACCCCGGGCCTCCCGCGCTGCCCGCTCCGGACTCGGAGATCCTTGTCGCCCGCTGCGCTCCGCACTCGCCCGCTCGCCGCCCTCCTCCCCTCGCTCCCCAGCCGGTCGGGCGGGCCCCCGAGACCCCATCGGGTCCAGGCTGGTGGCAGGCGGGCGGTCAGGCCCGGGTGGCGGCCTCCTCGCCATGTCCTCGGCCCGCGACACCAGCAGTCGCTTCCCGTTGCACCTCCTGGTCTGGAACAACGACTACCGGCAGCTGGAGAAGGAGCTGCGGGGCCAGGTGAGGTGCGCCGCGCGGAGTCGGGGTCCGTTCGCCTCCCGAACCCCGGGATCCATCGAGCGCTTACCGTAGACCGGGCCCGGTGCCGGAGGCTTTTGGTCCATCCTTCCTTTTCTGATATCACTAGGAATGAGTGCTTATTATTCCATTTCACAGGGAAGGAAACTGAGACCCCGAAGCCTACTTGCCTTGCGCAAAACGCAAGGCCACCGGGCTAATGAGGACCACGTTGGGATCTTTTATCCCAGGCCGGCTGATCCCAGAATTCACCTTTAAGCTTTATGGCCTCGAAGACGGAAGAGCGACACACATACACACACACACCCCTTACTCCACCCGCCCTGGTGCTGGGGAAGAGCTTGGTTGGCTTCGGTAGCTCGGTTCTAACTCTCTTGTGACCTTGGGCAAAGCAGTTATGTTCCGGGGCCCACTTTTCCTTACCCATAGAATGAGGATGTAGGCAGTGACGACGGAAAACCCAGGACTTGTCTAAACTGATGGGCCTGGGCCTGGGCCTCGGCCTTGGTATCAATGTTTTAACGAGCTCCCCGGGGTGGTTGGTTTAAGTTTGATAATCTCCGTTGATCAGACGCCTTAGGACCTCCCCGTTCTGAAACGCTGAGGTTTGTTTGTTTGTTTTGTTTTTAAATATTGACACCTCTCTAAATCAGTGGTTCTCAACTGGAGATGATAGTGAACACTTGGCAGTGCAAGGAGATGTTTTTGAGTTGTCGTGACTTGGGAGGTGGGTGCAAGCCAGGCAGTGGTGGCCTACGCCTTTAATCCCAGCACTTGGGAGGCAGAGGCAGGCAGATTTCTGAGTTCGAGGCCAGCCTGGTCTACAGAGTGAGTTCCAGGACAGCTCGGGCTATAAAGAGAAACCCTGTCTCGAAAAACCAAAAAAAAAAAAAAAAAAAAAGAAGTGGGTGCTGTTGGGTGGAGGCCAGGGACACCCCCCCACCACTGTGCCCTACAGTGTTCAAGGCAGCCACCCAACCACCCACAGCAGGGTGTCTGACTCCAAATGCTCGTAGGGCCTTGGTTGAGAATCTTTGCGTTATGTGTTTGTGTGGGCTTCTTGGTTTTTCTTTGTTTTTGCTTGAGACAGGGTGTCACTGTGTAGCCCCTCTGAGCCTGGAATTCACTATGTAGCCCAGGCTGGCTCCCTAACTTGGGGGAGAGGTAGCCTCCTGAAGGCGGAGCCACCCACCTGGACTGAGACACCTGGCACTAATGGCACTGTGGTCATTTCATTAGGCACGGGCACCCCGAGTTGCTCTCTAACCTGTAGCAAATGAGATAAGGATATGTAATTACTCCCGAAATCCGCCATAATTGTTAACTGTTGGCTTCATTCATCTTAGCCAGAGTGTCAGCGACTTGCTTTTGAATGATTCAAGGCTGACTCAGTAACTGTTGAGAACCCTTGGTTCTTTTGATTGATAAACGTTGGGCCAGCTCCATGTTGCACTGTTGGGACAGTTCAACTCAGTGTTGGTTTGCAGCTTGCCATATGTACTTTTAGTTGTACAGGCACCATGGGGAGTCAGAAATCACATTTTAAAAAAGGATTCCACTGGGCGGTGGTGGCGCACGCCTTTGATCTCAGCACTTGGGAGGCAGAGGCAGGTGGATTTCTGAGTTCGAGGCCACCCTGGTCTACAGAGTGAGTTCCGGGACAGCCAGGGCTACACAGAGAAACCCTGTCTCGAAAAACCAAAAAAAAAAAAAAGATTCCATAGTGGGCATGGCGGTGTACACCAGTGACCCAAGGCACCCAGGAAGTTGAAGCAGGAAGATTGGGAGTTGTAGGCTAGCCTGGTCAACTTGGCGAGCATCTGTCTGAAAATAAATACGAAAAGGGTGAGACTGTGTGCGGCTCAGCAGCCCAACACTTGTCTGTTGTGTGGGAGACCCTGGGTTTCATCCTCAGGTATGTGTGTGTGGGGGTCCAGACAGAAGAAGGTTTTGTAAGAGTTGTTGTTTTTAGTGAGATGACACAGTAACTACTTAGGATTTAAAGAGGTATGACACATGCCTCCAGAGAGGATGATTCACTGCCAGCCATCCCAGCGTACCTGCTGATAGAACTCTTTCTATCACACACAGCTCAGAGGCCTTCTCTAGAATTTGGGAAGTAAGCTCTTGTGCCTATCCCCAAGCCCCATTCTGGACATTTCAAGAAGTAACCGGTTTTGACTGGATGTGGTAGCCCACACCTGTCATCCAGGCTGAGGCAGGAGAATGACAAGTTCAAGACCAGTCTGGGCAAGTTTGACTCTGTCTCAAAATAAAAATTAAAAAAAAATGCAGAAAAAGGAGTTGAAGAATGTATACAGCTCAGGGCTAGGATGCGGAAGGGCTCCGGGCTCCGGGCTCTGGGCTCGGTGCCGATTCTGCTATAGACAGTGGTTCGAAGCTCATACACTGTTGAAAGTACAGAGAGTGGCGAGATTAAATCCCATTGGATAGGAAGGTTTGTTATCATCAAACCACGGGCTTCAGGCCTGAGTTTTGAAAGCAGCCTTTCTCCTCACTGAGGAGGGAAGAGCTGTCTTCAAAAGTAAGAGGCACGGGCCGGGCGGTGGTGGCGCACGCCTTTAATCCCAGCACTTGGGAGGCAGAGGCAGGCGGATTTCTGAGTTCGAGAGTTCGAGGCTAGCCTGGTCTACACAGTGAGTTCCAGGACAGCCAGGGCTACTCAGAGAAACCCTGTCTCGAAAAACCAAAAAAAAAAAAAAAAGTAAGAGGCACGTGTTGGTCACGATCTTCAGCTGTGAGCGAGTCACCATTTCCTGAACATCGGGATAAAGGTACCCATGGACGTCCTGTCTTTTGACCCCGACAAACCTTAAGGACGTTTGGAATTAAAATTTGGGAATGAAAATCTTTTATTTTGGTTTTGAGACAGGGTGTCACTGGGTCGATCTAGGTGGCCTGAAAGTCATCTGTGTAGCCCAGGCTGGCCTCAAGTCCTCTCAGTGGTCCTCCGTTCTCAGCCTCCCCTGTCGTGGGCTCACAGGCCTAGCAGGGCTTGGGAATTAAGGCCTTGCAGCAGGTTATTCTATGGGAGAAAAACGTAAGGTCATTGCTGCCCTTGACTTCAAGGCTGAGAGAGAATGCTCGCTCGCCCTTGCCGGTCCTCTCTGGTCCTCTGGTTTTTGACACTGCCCTAATTTAACACAATGGGTCCCTTGACAGTGTAGCACTTGTGTCTAGAGAGGAGACCTTGACGCGGACATCTTGGCAGTCGTAACCACACAGTCAAACTTCAGCAGGGACGGAGCAGCTGCGTAGGGCCTCCTTCTGTGCTGCCCCGGTTATGAAACTGTTCACTGTTCTGAATAAGGGGGCATCTTGGACTTTCATTTTGTACGAGTCCCTTTAAATCACACGACCGGTTTAGGGGGGACAAGATAATTTATTGCTAGAACACCCTTAAGAAGCACGCAGGAAGTGTGTGCTCATCCAGATAACCTATTGGTTAAGAAGTAACCTGCTTCCTCTTGGACCAGGAGGCAGTGGGGTCTAATGGTCAGCGCTAGTGCTGGCTAAGCTGTGTGTCTGGGCATGTGACTTGCCCTTGGTTGAAGGATTACCTGTGAATGTGGGTGGTCTGGAACTTAACTATGTAGTCTAGGCCGGGCTTGAACTCATGGCTTTCCTCCCGCCTCGGTCAGTCTTCTGAATGCTGGAATTAAAAGACGGTATGGCCAGCTTCTGCTAAATATTTTTTCTTATGAAATCTTAGGGTTTGTTTGTTTGTTTGTTTAGATTTAAATTGTGCATGTGTGTGTGCGTGTACGTGTGTGTGTGTGTGAGTGTGACAGTCCATCTCATGGGTCTCTGAGATCTTTGATTTGGTTCTGCTAACTCTCTGAGGTAGGTGCCGTTGTGCTTCCTGTCCTAGAGATCTGAGGAGCAGCTCACTCGTATGCTTAGCTTGGGCCTGAGCCATTCTTTGAAACTGGAAAAGAGCTTCATGCTCTGTCTGAATCTTGTCTCTTCTCTCCTTCCTTCTCTCCTCATCTCCCCTCCTCTCTCTGGAGAGAAAGACAAATAGAAGAGAAATAAAAAGCAAAATTTTGTACTTTCATTTATTTTTTTCTTGGTATGCGTTTGTGTTTGTGTGTGTGTGGTTGTGTTCGTGGTTGTGCTTGGCTGTGAGGATGCAGGGGAGACCAGGGGTTGATGTTGGGGGGTGTCTCCCTCAGTCATTTCTCTACCTTATTTTTTCAGACAAGGTTTATCAAGCTGGGCGGTGGTGGCGCACACCTTTAATCCCAGCACTTGGGAGGCAGAGGCAGGCGGATTTCTGAGTTGGAGGCCAGCCTGGTCTACAGAGTGAGTTCCAGGACAGCCAGGGCTACACAGAGAAACCCTGTCTCGAAAAACCAAAAAAAAAAAAAAAAAAGAGAGAGACAAGGTTTATCACTGGACCTGGAGCTCACGCTTGCCCCTAGAGTAGCCGGCCATCTCACCCCCAGGATGCTCCTGTCTCTGTGTCCCTAGTGCTGGGGTGACAGGTGAGCGTCATGACTGGCTTTTAACATGGGCACTGGGCGTCTGACTTCCGTGGCTGGTGCAAGCACACTAAGGCCCCTTCCCGGCCCCTGCTTTGTGTGTGGTCTTATTTTGAGATAAGCTTTCAACGGGTAGCCCCTGCTGCCGTCCGCAGAAGGAGTGTGCCACCACTCTTGGCTAGGAATTAAAACCAGCTGTCCCAGGCTAGCCTCAGACCTGTCTTCTTAGCCTCTCCTCATCATTCAGAGAGCCTCTACTTCAGGGGAGCGAAGGACCGCTGTAGACCGAGCTTCTGGCCTACAGCAAATGGACGAAATGCCGCCAGGCAGCGTGAGCGCTCCCGAACCCGGGGATTTAGCCGTTTTACTCATCACCTGGTATTTCTACAGGAGTTGGGAGTTGGCTGCAAAATTAGAAACGAAGAATCCCTCCCTGCCTTCTCAACAGTAAAGCCACCTTTGGCCTTGCTGTGTCTT